ATTTCAACCAAATGTGTGTTCTGTCTTTTAATCCGCAGTGGCGGATCCCTGCCGTAAACCCTTGGACCCCGAAAGGTCCCACTGTACTATCAGTCACTGGCCTCTGTTGGTTTAAGCCTCAGTTAGATCATCGCACCGAGCAGCTGTGCGCATGTGTGCTCAATTTAGAAGCCTTAGCGAGCGAGCGACTGAGGTCAGGTGGTTTGGCAGCTGTCTCCCTGCCTCACGTAGGGTCCACTGCTAAATCCAAACCGTAGTATCTTGCCTTCGTTTCCTTCAATGATTAGTTTCTGTCCGTAACCAAGGCGTGCGCGCAGTGAGAAAAGCAGCAGCTGCGCCATCAGGAGTGGAGGTGGTCATTGTGACTTTTGTGTGTGTGTGTGTGTGTGTGTGTGTGTGTGTGTGTGTGTGTGTGTATACAGCCTATCAGCTTAAAAATAAAGTTCAGTTAGATAAGAGCAAATGCTAACGGACTGCTGACAAAACGGACTTCATGCGAGGTGCACGCTGATGACGCCAAGTGTGCAGGATGACAAGAAAACTCAAGTGAAACCTGAAAACTCCCCAAATTGTCTGTTCAATTTTGTTGGGGGAGCAAATATATGAGCGAAAGTACAGAAAAATCAAGAATTGAAACTGTGATCGGGATGTGGCGCTAGACCGACGTCAGTTTAGCAAGTATTGACTGCTTAATGTTTTGCTTTTTCGTTGGCCGCTTGTGAGAGAGAATGTTTCGACAGGGTTCCACAAAAACGGCGGCCACCTGAAGGCCGCTGATGCTGGCCTGACCGGGCCAAGACAAATTACATCATGAAGTCAGCATTATTCCAAGATTTAAAGCTCACGGAATGTCAAATGGAAAATCAACAGTTTTCTGATGCGACTCCAACCATTGCGTCATGATTTATGATTTTTTTTTTTCCCTGTTCTATTTTAATATAACCTTGTCTCCGTCCTCCCATTACTCGTGGCTTTCAAAACGCCGCAGGTGAAAAGCGCTGCGCAGCACAAAGGGCGACCGCAAAAGCGCCAGCACAGAAATGTAAGTCACGCGTGTGTGACAACGCCGCATGGCCGCCATGGACCGTTTGATGCTTGTGTGGAAATCATCATAACATTGCACGCAGAATGGCTTTCATTGTGGATTGATTGATTGATTGATTTTTTTTTTTTTTCCTTTTGCATCATAATGACAATTGTAAAATGCTAACATAATTGCATCGACTGAATTTTCTGTGTTCGGAATGGTCATTTTGTTTATGAGCTAAACATGGGCTAAAAATAGCATCTTATTTGTTTAGAATTCCAAATTCACTCAACTCGACTCGATGTCCTTTCAAAGGCGTGTATTAGAATGCACGCATGTGAAAAATCCAGACGATGTCGTATAGTCCAAAAGCGTACGGTTTTTAAACGGTGAAAGAAACAAATACAAAGTTGCTCGTTGAATTTTCAAAATCGCCGTCACCAAATTGTTTAAAAGCTTGTAATTTATTGGAACTTTTTGCCATTTTGTAATTTTATTTATTTTTTTATAATATGACATCCACAATTTAGAACTCTCCATGGGGAATTATTACAAATATCATCGGAACAACCAACTGCATATTGGGTTTGGAACCCATCCTTGGAAAACTTTCCTATTTACGGTTTTTGTGCTCAGCCATCTTTCTGCTGAAGAACTTTTGAATTGAGGCGCTTCGTTTTGACAATAGTCTGGTGTCACCCTCTTGTGGCATCGATGGGCTATTACACTAGCTCCAGTTTTGGCTTATTTTGCGGAGTAGGCTTACCGTGCGCAGATTTTCTGAACTTCTGGCAGAGCCTCATTATGGAATTTATCCACCTTGATTTCTAATGGAATTTTTTTTTAATCTTTACCACCGTGAAATTGTATTCAATCCATATTTACATGCATGCTGACATGAAATTGAATCTCAATGATTATAGCTGAAGTTATCGCACGCCCCCCCCCCCCCCCCCCCTTTTTGCAGTCTTCCTCACATTCAAGCGAGCAGGAGCTGATTGTCCGCATGAAGAGCCTGGAGGCGGAGAACCACACTTTGCAAAAAGGTGAGCAAAGTTGAAGCTTTTGGGAGCCCGATTGCTTGTCTAACTGGGTTCTTCCGTTTTGTTAGTGGTGGGCGATATGAGGGCCGTGCTGCAGAAGCTTGAGGCCAGAGTGGCTCAGCTGGAGAAGACGCCCGCAGCCGTCGCCTCAGTCAAGGTAAAAGGGGACCACCACGTCGTCATACCTCGCGCCGTTTCTTTAATCCCGTTTCCTTTTGTCAGGCTGCTCCCGTCCAAGCAGCTCCTGCTAAACGGGTGGAGGAAAATGGGGACGACGACGACGACGTGGACTTGTTCGGCAGCGACGACGAAGATGATGAGGAGGCGGCCCGTCTCAAGCAAGAGCGCGTGGAAGCCTACGCCGCCAGGAAAGCCGCAAAGCCCACCCTGATCGCAAAGTCGTCCATCTTGTTGGACGTCAAGCCTGTAAGTCCCGACCAAGTGAAAAAGGATGAAGCCATTTTTTGCTTGAATTCAACGGACATTGTGCTGCTCCTGTTCGGTGCGCGCGCTTTGGTCACCGGCTTGAATGAGAAACGAAAGACCGTAGCATCGAAGCTGCAGAATGTGCTGCTGCACCATTTGTGTTTCGGCATTCGTTGTTTCAACGTTTTCAAGAGTTCCACCCATGCTAGATTTGTTAGCTCGTCTATGCCGTTTCACAATGAGTGTTTGGTTTATCTTTACTGTAAATGTCGACTATGAGTGCCATGTCTTTTGATTCCAATGGTGACCACTTTTCCGTCCTCCCAGTGGGACGACGAAACGGACATGGCCAAGCTGGAAGAGTGCGTGCGCTCGGTGCAGCTGGACGGGCTCCTGTGGGGTGCGTCCAAACTGGTGCCGGTGGGCTACGGCATCAAGAAGCTGCAGATCAACTGCGTGGTGGAGGACGACAAAGTGGGCACGGACATCTTGGAGGAGGAGATCACCAAGTTTGAGGACTTTGTGAGTAGACAAAATGGAAACTTTTATTTCGGACTCCAAAGATTTGTTGAGGTACAGTTTTGTTTTGTGTCACTCTTACAGGTGCAAAGTGTTGACGTTGCCGCCTTCAATAAGATCTGAACTAAGTGCTGCTGTTTAATGGTAATGGTTCAATAAAATTAAAAAAATAAAATAAAAATTGTGCTTTGGCGTCCTACTGCACATATCGAGGTTCACTGGCCACAATATCGGGTACACCTGGATAATGACATCATTAAGCAAATTCTCTTTACAAAGATGACCATGGAAATCAAAGCATTCATGAATAACATTCTGATGAATGCATTATTTTTGAAATGATTTATAATCTACATAAGACCAGTCTTGAGCACCATTTTTTAAAATAAGGACCTTTTTTTTCTACAAAAATCTGGATTAAAAAATTTGCCATTTTCTCCTGAAGCATGACAAATATTTTAATATTTATGAGTAAAAGCAGTATCATGTCATCGAAATTCTTGTGAGACTTGCCCTCAATTTTTCAAGCAAATTGCAAAAAAATAAAAAAGTAACTTTTTGGTATATCTACTAATAATAAACCGTGTATAGAATATATACCTGATGAAGTGAGCAGCATTTAGGCTTCACAATTACAGAGAGCACAGCTTCAGAGTCGATCCCAACCCCACCCAAAATCCCGGGAACACCGGCTGACTGAAGCTAGCGTGGGCGCCGTGAAGCAGAAGCATGCCCTCGGAAACATTGTAGAAGGACAAAACGCCGGCCCTGAAGTCCAGATACACTCCTATCCTGTTCCCGCACGGCGCGGCCACGCTCAGGCTCTGCTTGTTGTGGCGGAAAGTGCACGCGGCGTCGGAGCAGTCCAGGCTCCAGGATTTGGCGTTGTGGCCCAACTTGCTGTCGCTGCCTCCGCCGCTCCTGCTCATGCTGCGGTAGCACACGCCGACGGATGCCCCGCCCTTGCCGGCCCACGCCACCTCCCAGTAGCAGCGACCCGCCATGCCGGCGCGACACAGTACCTGCGCCCAGCTGCTGAAGCGCTCCGGGTGCTCCGGGTACGGCTGCGCCTCGGAACGCGTGGTCGCCGCCCGGTGGCCCTCGGACAAGCTCAGGTAAGGATTGGCTGTGTTGGGGTCCAGGGTTAAGTCCTGGTAGTCTGCGCCAAGGTTGGTAGAATTAACGGAATATACGCAATTTGAAAAAAAAACAAATCTTTACTCAAATTACAGAAAAAAAAAAGTGTTCTTTGTCAATATCATACTTTCAGTTCATTTTAAATGTATGGCTGTATGTATGTCTGTTACTTGAAGTGTTTATTCCACAATACTTGAGTTCACTTTAGTTTTAAATCTTACACTTGACACTCCATATACTAAAACTCAACCATAGCTAAAAAACTTGCTCTAGCTGGATTTAATACCCACAAGCCAAAGTGGAAAAAAAAACCCAAAACAAAAGTATGTTGGACAAAGCCCAAACTATTGTGTCTAATAATAAAGTCGGACATGCTGGTGGTAGCTTTTGAAAGTCAAAGCTGTACTCACAGTGTAAAAATTCCTCTCTCGTCTTTGGTTCTGAGTCATATAGTATGTGAGCATCGATTGTTACTAGGAAAAAAAAAACGACACGGGAAAAAGACAATTAGCCCAGTCCTAATTCCACACAGGTCGGTCTGAATAAGATTTGAAACCACTGCCAAACATTCGTATGTGAGCATCGATTGTTACTAGGAAAAAAAAAATGACACGGGGAAAAAGACAATTAGCCCAGTACTAATTCCACACAGGTCGGTCTGAATAAGATTAGAAACCACTACCAACCATTCTTTTCATCATGCTACTACACAAAAAAAATCAAGTACTGGTTTTGTTAACATTTATTTGTATATCTTTCGTCTTAAAATGTCCTTTCAGCATGGAAGTGTGCATTTGTCAGGAATCATTCCAAAAAATCAATCGGAGTCTTGCTTCCTGAATCCCATCCTATCTTGTCGGATGATGGCACCCTGAATTGCATACCTTTCGTCTTTTCATTTGGAACGCTGGTTTCCTTGAGTGAAACCACTGCAAATGGACAGAAATGGAAATGTCACTCACTCCGTATCGACCATTAAGCGAGCGTGAACATGTTGTGGTGGGTGGTGGTGGTTACCTTTATCGGAGATTCTGTCAAATTCTCTCTGGAGGCTTTCGTCCAGACCGTCTCGCAGCTCCGCTAGACCTCCTCGCATGGTTTTATACATCAAGTACGGGAACGTGTCCGTGTTGGGCATCTGCACTCGTTTGGATGGGAAATGAAGGGCTTTGCACTTCTGGAATGAAGACAAAAAAAAAAATTGTTTCTCTGGGATTTGCTGTAATTTCTTCAGCTATCAAACAAGCTTTAAAAATAATAAAATAAAGTTGAGTTAATCACTAAAATTGATCCCTGATCAATCAATGGACTCTTGTCAGTGTGTGACAGCATTACCTGAAGGAAGTGGAGGTGGTCATCGCTCCGGCAGAGTTTCTCCAGCTCGGCCTCGCTCCTCCGCACCTCGGCCGTCTCGCGTTCCAGCTTCTCCAACAGCTGCTCCGTCTGCGCCAGAGCCGCCCGCTCGCGCCCTCGGATGGCCTCCTGCACGTCGCAGCGCTGCTTCTCGATGGCGCGGAGCAGCTTGGAGAAGACCCTGTCGCTCTCCTCCTCGGCTGCCTCAGTGGCGTGCTGGGTCAGGGGGACGCAATCAGAAGTTTATTTTGTGGACGTTCACGTTGGATGATAAAATACAAGTAAAAAAAAAAAAAAATATATATATATATATATATATATATATATATTTATTTTTTTAGTACAACCATTTGTTTAAAAGTAGACACACTCACTTTGATGTATCTGACCACATAGCGAAGCTCTTTCTCCACGTCCTTGATGTTCTGCGTGCACTTCAAAGATGCTTCTTGAAGTTTTTTCTACAAAAACATGAAGCGCATGCAGTTTGGTGTTGCTGAAAGTCAAGTGCTGATTTTTCATGAGGTAAACCTTTCAAGTGGAATTGAACGATGGTTCAAAATGATGCTGAAATGCTTTTGATCAATTGGAAAAGCAAACCGTTGAAATGTGGCTGCAGGACATCATTTTTGTTGGTTTTAACTTTTGTTTTTGTTCCCAGTCTCGTATTGACCAACTGGACTTGATTTGGATCTTTGTGAGCGGTGTCATGAATTGGCGTCCAAGAAGGAGCACTGAGTGAAGATGGAGACAGCTAGCGTCTTGCGCTAGCCGGCGACTGGTTGCCTGTCATGTACTCTATGCGCTTCATGTGCCTGTTATGTTTTACACACTAAATCTAATTTAAAATCCTACTTTGAAACCCTAACTCCAGTTTAAAACCTTACTTTGAAACCCTAACTGTAGTTTAAAATGTTACTTTGAAACTTAACCCTAGTTTAAAACCTTGGCATGCAAGTTGACATGTCAACTTGCATGAGCCTTGCTAAAATCTGTACCGCAATGTCAAATTGCCATGTGTAATAAATAACATTGAGATTTTACAATGATTTTGTTACCCTGTTTTTACACTCCAACAATAATTCATTGTGAACTAGTAATAATGCGATTGTTACGAGGAAGGCCGTAACTCCAAAGTGGCCCGTGATAAAAATTGATCTGAGTTTTGACACCCTTGTTTTAAACCCTAACCCTAGTTTAAAATTCTACTCTGAAACTCTCACTTAAGTTTTGTTTGGATGCTCGGGGCCACCGCCCCCTTGGGCCCTCCCCTGTGCGCGCCCCTGACATACCTGTTGTGCTACCCGCTCGTCCGCCAGCCGAACTGTGTCGTGGTTCTTGTGTTGGCCTTTGAGGCAGCGCGAGCACACGCCCTGATGGTCTGCGCGGCAGTAGCTCCTCACTGGCCTTTGATGCTGCGGGCACAACTTCTCTCTGACAACACCGGACTGGGATAAAAACAAAAAAAAAAAAAGCACGCTCAAGTGACATTTGAACCTCTTTACAAAACGGATTTCTTTTACAAATGTACAGTGAGTCCGCGCCTGTTCGCGACGCACCATTTTCCAAATCACCGACAGTATTTGGGAACCTAACTACCCATTTGTTGAAAAATGCGGCCATTCACACCGAGCCGCGTAATTTTGTGCTTTCTGCAACGCCCAAACACCTCCATACTACTTCGAATTCGGCATGCCACTGGTGGAGAAGCTTTGCTATGCATGCACGTTAACATTGCCCGCAACTATTAATACACGCAATTATAAAAATTTTTAAAGGGCGGTGTCCACTGGTTGCACGTTTCATTGTCGTGACTTACTAACTTAAATAACATGTCTTCTTGACAGACTTGAAGACATGTATTCTTGAAAAAGTGAGAACAAATCATATTGTTTTATATTTCTGCGTGATTTTTTTTTTTTTTTTTTTGGTTATTGTTGGATGTGGTATTTTGATTTGAATTTTGACTTGTCATTGGTTGGCCAAATCGAATACTCCGGGGAACCGTACAGAATTTTAAATTCTTTGTGTGTGTTTTAACATTTTTCCAGTGCGACAATTGAAGAAATGAACTGTTTGAGACAAACAGTTTGCTCGGTCGAATGATAGAATTAATAATAATGATAATATCGTAATATTTATTATTAGTTAGTTTAATGATAGAAACTGTGGTTGATGATAAAATATAATAATCCAATGGCACTTCGAAAGTCACCTTTTAAAAAAAACAAACAAACATGACGACCCGGAAGACCGTGGTCAACTGCGCATGCGTATTGTTGACAAACCCACGTCGTTTACGAACGTCAGTTCCCTTGTGATACTTTCCATTCAAAAACAAAGCAAACACAAAAAACCTCGTTGTGAATCTTTGGAGCCACCACCACGCCGTGTCCCCGTCCCCCACGGAGGCGCTCGTCGGCCGGCTGCTCTTGGCCTCCGCTCTGTAGGAACTTCTCCACCAGATCTCCCAAAACGGTGTTGCGATTGAGCAGCGGTCTGGGCTTGAACTCCAGGCGGCACTGCGGGCAGCTATATTGGGGGGCTTTCTGCGGCTTGACTCTACTCCAGTAGTCCTCGATGCAGCTCAGGCAATAGCTGTGGCCGCAGGGGATGGTCACCGGGTCCCGCAAAACCTCCAGACATACCGAACAGGTGAACTGGTCCTGTTCCACGGATATAGTGGAGGTAGTCGCCGCCGCACCTGCCGCCATCTTACTCCCTTGAGGGTTCAAAATGGGCGTGGCTTACAGGTGTGTTGATAAAGGTTGCACCTGCGAGTGTCGTGGGACATGTGACGTCACAAAGCACAATGTTGATCCAGTATTGGACTTTGGGCTTTCTTTGTTGAATGTTATTTTGGGCAAAGTGTGAGACTTTGCAAAAAAAAAAAAAAAAAAAGTGAATCATTGACAACCATTATAATTGCAATGGGGAAAAAAACAACCCCCCCAAACTTTTAACACAAACAATTCTTGAACAAGTGGGGATTTCGCATCTACTACCAAATTAACCGCCATCTCTTGCAAAATGTTCTCTTCACAAATGTAAATTTTTTTCTTGTATTCATGACAGAACCGAAACTGTATTATATGTCAAAATCTAATTGAAATTGTTCTCCCATTTCACTCTGATATTTTACTCATGACCCATCTTTGTACATTAGTGATGTGTCGGTCGCGAACGAGCCGGTACAAAGAGCCGGCTCTTTGAAGTGAACGATGCGAGCCTTGCTCAGAGAGGTAGACCAGAAGAGAAAGGGAAGGGGCGAGGGGCTTGGTCGGGACTGCACGGAGTGCACGCTGTACGATACATGGTCGTTTTTTAGGGCTGAAAACGTCTTACGATACATGGTGGGTTTTTTCGGCTAAAAACGCCTTATTATACATGGTCGTTTTTTTTCGGCTAAAAACGCCATACTATACATGGTCGTTTTTTTCGGCTAAAAACGCCTGACTATACATGGTTGTTTTTTTCAGCTAAAAACGCCATACTATACATGGTCGTTTTTTTTTCAGCTAAAAACGCCTTACCATACATGGTTTGAGGGGGAAAAGTTATCGGGGCCCTCAGAAAGTCATCCGATGTTTCCTCCCCAATCAAGTTTGATTTCACTGCGATCCTTTGGGTTTTGCAGGTTCTTCAGCCCCGGGCCGCGTTGGGACCAGCAGAGAGCACCCCGCAAGCATCCAGACGAGACTTGTGTCTCAACTATTCCAGCGGAGTTGCCCTGATCAACAAAGCATCTTGAAACAATGAATAAAGTTGGCTTGCACGTTTTGGTAGTGTGCGTAATGGGTGTTTTATTTGCACTTTATTCACGATCGCCAAGAACAGGGGTGTCAAACATACGGCCCGCAAGGAGGTTTGATCAGGCCCGCAGGATAATTTAGAAGTGAAAAAAAATGCATAAAAGACACGGAATGAATATTTTTAATCAAGTGGAATTCATGGATTATCTGCTAGGGGGACACACTGTTTTGATCAGAGGAAAAGACAACATTCTTTTGATCAGAGAAGAAGACAACAGCAGCCTCAGTCTGTCACTGAGACAGACCCAACACAGAAGACGCGATCAAGGACGTGAATACTTTATTCTTTACACATTATAGCACTCTCCTTAGTTTGTAAAGTGTAGGCAGGGATTACATTTAGATGTGATATGCTCGTGTAAATGGTTTAAAAATTCGTTTCTTTGTAAATCTCGTTTAATCTTAAAAGTGCATTACTATATTTTTCAAGACCAATTACTTAAGGTTTTGTGCCTTTGTACAGTCAGTGGGATCACTTGCAATGCAGAAGGCTGTTCGAAAACCGAAATTGTTCGAAAACCGAAACCACGCTCTTTTTAAAATAAAAATGTTTACTGAACACGTCTGCTCGCAATGGAAAGCAACACGAGGAAGCATCACCTCCTCGTGTAAGAAAGGCGAGAGGAGTCAAATGGTGCATTCAAGTGCGCTCGGTTTGTTCAAAGACCGAAATTTGTTTGTCATCCGAAGCATAAAAAATTAAAAATTTTTGGTCAAAAAACGAATTGGTCGAGAACCGAGACCTTAGAAAACCGAGGTTTGACTGTATGTGAATGATAAAAGTAAATTGCACATTTGTCTAAGGAAATCTTAGGTGCTTCATGAAATGTTTTGTGAAAGATATGTTCATTTCATTTCAGCATTTTCCTAGTGTTCTTGTACATCTTTCGACCAAAACAAAGGAAAGACATGTTATTTTGGTTATTTATAGCAGAGTATGGAATAATGTTTAATGGCCCGGCCCACTTGACATATACCGAGGCCCTATGTGGCCCACAATGTAAAATTAGTTTGACACCCATGCTACACATGGTCGTTTTTTTCGGCTAAAAACGCCTTACTATACATGGTCATTTTTTTTTCGGCTAAAAACTCCTTACTATATACACTGTCGTTTTTTTCGGCTAAAAACGCGTTACTATACATGGTCGTTTTTTTTCCGCTAAAAACGCCTTACTATACATGATCGTTTTTTTTTCAGCTAAAAACGCCTTACTATACATGGTCGTTTTTTTCGGCTCAAAACGCCTTACTATACATGGTCGTTTTTTTCGGCTCAAAACGCCTTACTATACATGGTCGTTTTTTTCGGCTCAAAACGCCTTACTATACATGGTCGTTTTTTTCGGCTCAAAACGCCTTACTATACATGGTCGTTTTTTTCGGCTCAAAACGCCTTACTATACATGGTCGTTTTTTTCGGCTAAAAACGCCTTACTATACATGGTGTTTTTTTTTCGGCTAAAAACGCCTTACTTTTCATGGTCGTTTTTTTCGGGTTAAAACGCCTTACTTTTCATCAGGGGTGTATAACATACGGCTAGAACCGGCCCGCAAGGAGGTTTGATCAGGCCCGCAGGATAATTTAAAAGTGAAAAAATGCACAAAAGACACGGAATGAATATTTTTAATAGGGTGCAATTCGTGGAATATCCGTTAGGTGGAGACACTGTTTTGATCAGAGGAAAAGACAACATAGTTTTGATCAGAGAAGAAGACATCAGCAGCCTCAGCCTGTCACTGAGACAGACCCAACACAACAAGCCTCATTTCATTTTTCAGAGTTGAAGGAAGATTGTTCTTGGGTCCTCCATGCCATCAGAGGGAGTCACCTGTTCACCGCCGGAGTCCACCTACGAGCACAGACCTACAGGCAACACTTTTTGCTCTTCTTCCTGTCAAGGGCAGCTGATCCACTGAGCTGGTGGAAATACCGAGCTTCCGTCTACCCCCGTTTGATCAAAGTAATGGAGAGTAGAGTGTGCATTGTAGCAACATCTGTCCCGTCAAGGAGGGTGTTCTCAATTGGACAAATTGAAGTATTCCAAGTTGAAGTATTAAGTTTGTTGACTGCAAATTTAAAATAAAGCAAGGAGTAGCTTATGTTTGTTAGAATAAAGCAAGGAGTAGCTTATGTTTGTTTTGTTCACTGCTGCTGTTGCAGTTCATACTCACTATTTTTGTTATGATGCAGCATGTTTGATTGTTGTTGGTTGAAGTTTAATTTTGTTGCTTGTTTATTGTTTGGAGCCTTTTTAATGGTCAATTAAATAAGTAAAAAGCCATTTCTTTGCTTGATAATTGTTGCTATTTGCAGTCAGGAGAGTGCAATACAGTATTTAGTTCACCAAGTCATTTATCATAAATATTTAAAAGAAAAGCTAAAGTTAAAAGAGCCGTTTGAGAGCCAAAAAGAGCCGGCTCTTTTCACTGAGCCGATCCAAATGAACCGGATCACCGAAGAGACGAAAATCCCATCACTATTGTATATACCTGTATATGTGTATGTATATATATAAAACACACACAAACAGTAGAATTTTGGTTTGGGTAATTTCATTTGTATTTTATGTGTCTGTGAAATATCTGCGTGACATTGCCATATTAAATGTATTTATATGGATGTTGGTTGACACTCTGTAAACAGCATTCACAATTCAACTTTTTTCATGGCAGTATGACACAGACCAAAATAATATGTATGTATGAATAAACTTTAAAAAAAAAACAACATAAAAGTCACATGATCATAAAAGGTATAACCTTATTCATTTCCAAAGTGGTTCTTCTAAATACTACACTCAGTTCAGTCCTGTAATGAATTCTTGTAAAATCAAATAAAAAGTATTCTTGTCCAAATGGTGACAGGGTTTGTGCTTGTGTGTGCATGTGTGCACAGGACCATCTCTTCTGTTCATCTGGTTGAGACAACTGCTGAGGCTTTCGGTGAATAAATAATTACTGTCGTTCCCACTTTTCTAACAAAACAACAACAAAAAAAGTAAAGGCAGGGGTATGTCAAATGGGGAAAATACAGCAGCTTGGTGATCAAAGTTCAAGGTTTTGCATGTGAAGTTAATCATACGTGAATGCATGTCCACATTCAAGTCTCATTTCTTTCTGGCTTGGGGGCGGCGCTGGAGGTGCCGATGCCTGGAGGCTGAAGACATTTTGGAGCCTGCAATAAAAAAATACAAATAGATAATATGTAGGACAAAAAATACTCATACATAAAATGCTTGTTTAACTGTGAAATTCTTTAGACCTATTCCTCCATCTGAATAAGCTTCACTTCGCCAAATGTCCAAGTAGTGAAATTAACATACTAAACTGGTCACACCTGTACAATCTTCACAGTGTTGTGCTCGAAATGCTTGAATTACAGTGGAACAGTGTATAATTTAACTATACCATCTTACAAATGTGGCTGGATGCCGGTAAAATTTTGTTTTTATTTACTTTTTTGTCTTTGAAAAGACATTGCATAGAAATGTTTAGATTTTCCAATGTTTACTAATTAAAAAAAAACTTCATTTTCAGTGATATGCACAAAAATAGTATGTTCAATCACATCACTGCACATTTTTAAAGAATAAAATCGTCGGTCTCTTCATCGCTAATTATATTACAGTACGTGCGTCGTGCCTCACCTTACACTAGGTTGCGATGTTTCGCCGCCATCTTTCCGCTACGGCGTGCCAAAGCAGACAAACTTAACCAAACTGGCACCTAAACATTGTGAGTAACATGTGTAGCATCCACTACCCCGTACTTCGTCTCTTGAGGGACTACTAGAAGTCGTTTGCGATGACATTTTGCTTGCACCTCTGCTGAATAATTGGTGGTAGATTTGCGAAGTGTGCGCTCTTTGAGGAATCGTCACGCGCTTCAAAATACACACACTTCCAAATTAAGTTGTTGCATTCTATTAGTTCACCACAAGATGGCGAGTGCATTTCACACACTGTACTTTAAGTTTGACCTCTCAAAGCTCACACAATACAGTTTACCATGCGTTGTAATTTATAGCTATGATGTTTTAGAGGACATTTATGTATTTATAATACATCTTCATTTATATCGCGCTGTTACTATATTACATATTATTGTTATATTATTAATATCATAAAAACCTGACGAGCTAGGGAAAAAACAACAACAACAACAAAAAAAAAAACATTCTATGCAGCAGATACCAACCAGAAGATGAGAACACAAACATGGGTACAGGAGGTCCTGGGTTCAGGAAAGGGTTGAGGGGGCTTACGCAGCTTTGGTCCAGGCCAGGTGACAGGAACTCTACACACACACACACACACACACACACACACACACACACAGCGGGGCGGGTTGTATGAATTTGCATGTCTGCTGCCTCAGCACACTGCGGTGATAAACAAGCCGAGAAAGGTCTTTTCTGTGTGCTCAAAGTGACATGCACACTATGACGTTTTTGTCAAATGAGGGAGATTGATGGCATTTAACTCTATTTTCACTGCTCGAATCAGTTTATGTGCATGCTTTCCAATAGTTTGAGCCGGAATTCCGGAATATAGCTCAGGTAACATTTTCGTATTTTTATTTTCTGGCTGAGCGGCACGGTGGATTGACTTCGCATGTCCGCCTCACACTACAGAGGCATCGGGTTCGATTCTGGCTCCGGCCCGCACGGTCACAACCCTCGTAGGAATAAATTGGATTAGAAACTGGATGGATGGATGTTCACTTTCATGTTAGCAAGAGCAAAAAAAATTATTGTATTGTACATTTGGAACACCAAAAAAAAAAAATAAATAAAATAAAATTTAAAAAAAGCGATTCATCACGATTTAACGACAAAAATCATGCATCATATAATTGCTTTCTTTGCGTTAACAGTTAAATGTCCTCCAATAAACACACACGCTCGAACATAAAGCGAAACATAGATTTGGAGTTGTATTCACTCAGCCACTACAGGTGGCTGTTAAACACACAGTCAGGATTATTGATACTTTTTTGGTGACATTTTTGTTTGATGGCTGATCACAATTTTTTTTTTTTTTTTTTTATGTCAAATGAAGTGATGTGGCTCAGTGAAAGTTGGGCAAGACAGGTGTCGCAATTGGACGAGGTGACGCGGACTTGCTGACTCACCGGCCTCCTCCATTTTGTCAGCGGGCTGGACGTCGGCCGAGGGCGTGGTCGAGCCGGCCGAGGGCGTGGTCGCGTGGACGGGCAGGTTGGACGGAGCACTGATCACCACTTCTCTCACTGATGGAACACAAGTCCATTGACAATTTTCCAATAAGTGATATTACACAATAACGTGACCCAAAAAGGGCACACACACACACACAAAAAATTCTTGGCGCATTTCATGTCATGTCTGTCAGGTAATGTTTCCGAACAGTGTCAAGCAAAAGTGCACCTTTCTCATAGATGCTGACAAATCCATCCTGGCAAACCTCTTGCAAGAGCTCTTTAAAGTCGCAGACGGCTTTTGTGGCAGCGTCAAACGTCAGGGCGGGCTCCGTGGCGATGGCAGGCATAGTAGACGATGCAGGTGGCAAAGCATCCAGGGACTGACAGCTCTGTCGTGACAAAAAAGTCAAGTTGGAAATACAGTACAAAGAGCAAGAAGGCAAAGAAGAGTCACCTATTTGGGATTTTCTGTCCTCCTGCAAAATTTTCTGAACATTGTGTGGATTTTCATAAAGTATATACATTTTTTTTCCCCTGAAACTTCATAGCTATAAATGACAACACAGGTTAAAACTCATAATGTGCAAGCTTTTGCAGGTCAAACTTACACCAAAAATGAAAGTAATTCCACTCGAAAGGAAAAATTAAGAACATTTTTAAGTCAGCTTCAAAAATATGTTCAGGGAGAGACCAAGTCATATCTCTGATGAAAATGTGCTGTTGACTAGTGTTATTTTTCAGAATTGTTAAACCCCAATCTGAACGGTATCACCTCAGCCAGCCTCAATTTGTGCCTGCAAGATGCCCAAAAATCCACTGCGGCGTGGCGCCCTCACCTGAAGGAATTGCAGGTGGTCATCGGCGAGGGCCAGCCGGTCAAGTTCGGCCTCTCGCCTCTTCTGCTCGGCGACCTCCTTGTGGATCGTCTCCAGAATGTGCTGCGCCTGACTCACCACCTGCTTCTGCTGGGCCTTGATTAGCTCGCGCACCTCGAAGCGCTTCAACTCCACACAGCGGACAAGGTCGCTGAAGACGCTGTCGCTCGTCTCGGCCGCCAGCCGAGCTGAATGCTGTGGTGGGGGATGGAGGAGAGGCGCCATTTGTGACATTTGTCAGGAAAAAAGTGTTTGTGAGTGTTTGTGACTTACATTGAGAGAGAAGATAGTTTGTCTCAGCTTCTGAGCCGCCTTTTCTTGTTGCTGAATGCTCTGCTGCGAGCCCAGCTTCATCTCAGCAAGCTGTCTCTGCGGACCAGGAAAATTATGTTGAAAAAATGGTAACCGTTTTCCAACTGTTCCTACTTGAGGATGTATGAGGGAGTCATGATTTGATTATCACAGCGCATTGGGGGTTATTTCCGTTTTAAAGGAGAGTTTTCTTTTCTTTGCCATCCCCCATTCATAAGCAATGAGAATTTTAATTGCTTGATGTTGTCAGTGGTGTGGGAAAAACAAACAAAAAAAAACAACAACAAAACACACACACACACACACACACACACACACAGACACACACAGACACACACACTTTTTAACACCCCGGGACCAAAAAATAACAAACCCAAAATTCAAAAATGCTGATAAACTTCCAATATGGATTTTCCATGACTTAAGGGGGTCTGTCCCCAGCCCCACCCACGCCCCAAGACAAAAATACATCTATTGGGGGGAAAATCCGCGATTAGCAGCTGTCAAACTGATTTCCATTGTATGCATGTTCCAAGTTACCTTCTGCAGTTCTATTTCCACCTCGACCAGCACCGTATCGTGTCCCTTGTGTTCATCCGTCAGGCACATGGAGCAGATGCACTGCTTATCCGTGCGGCAGTAGACCTCCAGCAGCTTATCGTGACGCGGGCACACGCTCTCCTGGAGCCTCTTGGAGGCCGACACCAGCTTGTGCTTTTTGAACACGGCCGATTCATGGTGCGGCCGGACGTGCAGCTGGCAATACGACGCCAGGCACACCAGGCACGAGCTGACCGCCTTGTTCTTCCTTTCGGGGCACACGTCGCACTCCACGTCGCTGGCCTCCGCCAGGCTTTGTTGTTGTTGTTGTTGCCCCCCTCCGCCTGCCAGGACCTCCTGGAGTCCGCTTCGCTTGAATCGATCCACGACGTCGGCTAGCAAGGTGCTGCGGGCCAGGGCCGGCCTCGGGCTGAAGCTTTGTCGGCACTGAGGGCACATGAACACGCCGAGGTATTCGTCTTGGTCCCAGTAGTTGCGGATGCAGTCGGAGCAGTAGCTGTGGCCGCACGGGATGGTCACCGGCTCTCGCAGGACATCAAGACACACAGAGCAGGTGAACTGGTCCTGGTCCAGGACCACCCCCGCCTGGGCCATCGTCCCCCGACGTGAAGAAGTTGGAAGGGACGTGGCACGGAGAAAAACAACAAAAACGCGATACAGCTGCTCTGTTTACAGGAAGGTACGTCAAGAGGCCGGGGCTAACTGGCGGAAGCAGAGGAGGTTTAAAATTGACACACGTGAATTTGTAGATTTTGCTTTTCACTCGACGACGTGTAATATAATTTTATAACATATTACGGGTGATTAAATATGAAATCCCCCGTGTAACACAGCTAAACAGTTCCAATTACACAAAAATGACTCATGTAAAAAGTACCTCAGGGGCAGGTCCATCTCCCGGAAGTAGACGTATGGACGATTTTTTTAACAAATTAAAAAGACCGTAAATAGCTTTTCCACCGATAGATTATTAACATTATAAGATTAAAAAGTAACAATGGAAACAATTATAAGATTTAAAAAAAAATAGTGCAAGTAAAAGGAGGGCCGGAGGGGAATAAAGTGGAAATATTCGGAGGTTGTGTCGTAGGATAGGATAACTAGCGGAAGTAGATGGTGTGGACTTCCGTGTTGAATTTCGATGGAATATTTTTAAATCAATTCAAGAAAATTTGAATTACACCAAAAAACTCATGTCTTGATTTTAGTTTGTGTCAAGCTCTAAAACTTAATAAAAATAAACATGTTCAAAGAATATCTGTTAATGTTGTCAATCAAAACTGAGCCGTTTGTACTGATATTTGATGACATGTAAAATCAGGTTGTGCAAATGTATTTAAATGTTTGGTGAATAAATACCAAAAAATAAGACAAGTACATTTGTATTTGAAAATGTTATTAAATAGAACCAACAAACATACTGTTATTGCACATGGATTCATTCAACAAATAATTTAAGAGCAACTTAAAAGGGCAATGCATGACTCTCGCTTCCATCAGTGCATTCATAACAAACATTCAGACCTACAAATCGAACGCTAATAATAATGGCATAAACATTTTGGTCAGAAGATGAAGTGCAAATTTTATAAATAATTCATATTCATGTATTTCCCTTCCAAAGTTGCCTGCAACATTACATTAAGTCTTAAATACCACCCATCAGAGCACCAAGCTATACCTTTAAAAAAAAAAAAAAACAGCAGATGATCCCTTTATGATAAAACAGGAACGTTGCCTGAGATGGGAAGCTTTTTTGTGCATTTTATATACAACCACGCAGAGATCAGGTTGCTGCAGCATGCCTGTGTGAACGTATCACTCGGGTTCACGTTCATATCGCCGTACAATGTTATTTGCCTTAAATAAAATTACAAAAAAAAAAAATTACGCAAGTGGAACTGTTCTACTGTGTTTGTGATTGCATTGCTAACGATATGCATGCGTTCATTCATTCTTCTTCTGCTCCAGTCCGCTCTCAGCTCTCAGGGCTTGGCTGTTGGCTGAAATGAAGTTGATCCAGTGCTTCACGTCCTCGCCTAGTGGAGGACATTTGATCTGGTGATGAAAAACACAAAACAGGCATTGACAAGAAGAAAAAACAAAAAAAAGGACACTTAATGGCCTCCTAACGTAGGTGACTCACTGGATTGCCCACTTGCATCAATGAACACCTTAAATAATACCTCATTTTAATAAAATGCTTCCTGCTTTTGGCCCCTTTGACAAATAAACAGCATCTTATAATTATGTATTTGAAATCCCATGTTTTTGATCATGTTCTTGTACTTTCTATTTTTTGTGCATTTTTCTAGTATGTCTGCCTAATATGTATTTTTTAGCGCTTTGTATTGCATTCTCTATTGTTTTGTCCATGTTTATTCTTTCTAATTAATGTATTTTCAAATACTTTATACAGGTCAAATCTTATTTTCTTTATTTTGTTTCTGCTTTTTTGTATGTTATGTTTTCCCCAATTCATGTATTTTCATCTATTTTATAGTATTTTCTAAAATTGCTGTCTACCTTTGGATTTTTTTGCTGTCTACATTTGGTTTTTTTCCCCCAACTATTTATATTTTGTCATCTAACATTTGCATACTACTTAGTCAAATAGTTTTGTTTTTTTGTTCTTGTATCATTCATGGAGTTATTTTGTATTTTGTCGAGATTAAAAAAAACAAATTGTTTTAAGTCTATATAGTATTTAAAGATGTCTATAATATATTTGTGGGTATTTTTCATCCTATTTTTGCATTGCTGTTCATTCGTATTTTACAATTTAAATTACGCCCTGCGATTGGCTGGCAACCACTTCCCCTGCCTAGCGCCCGATGATGGCTGTGATAGGCTCCAACACACCCGCGTGCCTTGTGAGGGTAAGCGGATTAGAAAATGGATAGCTCTCCCTCTGGCGAGGTGAGGGGTGAGCAGTGGATGGATATTTAAATGACAGCATTTTAGTGAGCTCATTTTTTTCTCTTAGAAATACCCTAATAGTTCCAATTTCGGCCTATCCACAGTTCGTGTGTGGCCCGCGTGATTGTGCAGTGCTCACCTTCGTTTTGCAGACAAACTCAACAATTTCCTCAGGGCTGCTGTGCACCACATTCTGCCTGCAGAGCAACACGGCTGACACAAAGCCGTCCTTCTTGGACACGAAGCGCTGCTCCAGATAGAAAGCTTTGTCGTCCCAGCCCAGTATCCTGGTGCGAATCTCGAACGTCTCGGCAAAGGCCAAGGAGCGCCGGTAGCGGATGGTGGAGGCTCCGATCACCATCTTGGCCCCCATCCTGCACAGGGCCAGGAAGAGCCCGGTGCGCATGTAGTGGTGGAAGCGGGCAAAGTCACACTCACGCAGGTAGCGCGAGTTGTTCATGTGACCCTTGTAGTCCACGTCGTGGGGGAGAACCACGCCATCCAATTGTTGCTCCGCCAGCACGTCCCGTATGCGCGGCAGCAGCAGGGTTTGGATCAACACATACACCGCCCGCAGAAAGTACCACACATCCACAGTGCAGAAGAGCACTAGGAGGCCTCCTAGCACCAACAGCAGCATGTCTCTGGATGAACGAAAAAAACATAACCGTAAGACTAAATGTTGCGTCCACGAGGTACCTTAAATCAGATGCCCAAGCCACTTCATCTGGCTCCTCTCAATGTGGAGGAGTAGCGGCTCGACTGTTTGTCCATCCAAGATGACCGAGCCTCTCACCCTATATCTAAGGGAGAGCCCCGGACACCCTGCGGAAAAAAAATAATAATTTCGTCCTAACTACTTCATATTAATTTGTCAAGTGTTCAAGTGCTGATTTATTAACGTATTAACGACGACTCTGTGACCACTCGCACACAACATATAAATACCAACATTTGAAATCCATTCAAATCAACCTTGAGAGGACATGGGCGGTCGTCGACTAGCACGATGCTCTCTGGCTTCCGCTAGTTAGCTACCCAACTGGCTATACTGTATTCGTAACCGTTACCGCCTTCCCCCTCCTCCTCCGTAATCAAGAAAAGCATTCGCCGCAAAATTGTTCACTCCTTCGTCTTCACCAGCATCGGGTTCCCCTTTGGTCGTTTATGGCGTCAACCGACTCACCGTGCGTAGCAAATGGAGCGCTAACATCGGTTGCGTCGTGACCAGAAGCCGGTACCTCTTGTGGAGACAGGCTACAGCACCGTCCGGCATAACTTCCGGGTATGTGATGTCACGCGACAAGGCAGGAACCAAACATCTGCGTGAATAAAATAACTGCAGATATAACTACCTATTTTCTGTTTTTTTTTTCTCGTCTGTTCGTTTTAACAGTTAAAGTCTAAATTTATACAGTAAATGGCGTCTTACGTTGGTAGAACATACGAAGCTTTCCCCGTCAACTAAACTAGTGACTCATCTGCGTTCACAAGCTCACTTCCTCATTCTCCACCAATCACACATCAGTCTGGCGTGATATCCGTGAACAGGAGCCCCGCAATTCATAAACATAACATACCTTTTTCCTGCTGAACGTTCCGTTTAAAATATAAATATCTCCAACGCGTAACTCTTTATAATGCTACACCAACAAATCCATCCCAAATCCCCCTTTGCCTATCACAGAGCAGGAACACTTAGGTGGCTTTAGTTTTTTTTTAACTAACTTTTTAGCCTCTTCCATGATGTCATCACCGTCTCCAGAACGCGCCCATTGTGACATAAACGTGAAATACCAATCAGATTAAGTAATCTCATTTAACTAGCGTTTTTAGGACGGCAATTCCCTTTTCTTACTGAGGAGTTGGCGGCTTTGCAAGATGATGTCATGCTAGTGTACCGACACCCCACATAGACAAAAGTAATTTCAAATTTGTCACTTCCTCGCATGTGACGCCTTAGCATGGTCCGACCGTAATCATACATCTCCTTAAAAGGGTAAACAGCGATGTCATCGGTCTAGGCCACCGCATATTTTAAAGGTACTTTCATAAACATACTCTCCTGGTTAATTTTAAGATAATTAAAAAATGTAAAATGATTTTTGTCCGAGTCAATTCATGAGTTGGGTTAAACAGGCTATGATATAATTTTGCTCAGTTACAACGTACAGTATATGCCTACATTAGCCACTTTGTACTTTGCATCTTGACTTGTATTATCACATTCACAATCACATCGTATTTTTTTGGCCCCAAACCATCATCTGCATTTTCCTGTAAATTAAATTTCATAACTGACGACAATCGTAGTTAATTAATGATTGATCATCTATCATTTAGTAAGATTTAAGTTTTCGTGACTTATGTGTCTTTGTGGGTTTTAACGTGACAGCTGAAGTAAAAGCTACTGTGTCCCTGTGTGGTTAACATGGCATGTTGCAATTCATTTTCTGGATTGTTATAATAAGAGGACTAACATGCAAAAAGCAACAACAAAAAAAAAAGGCACAACTTTATTTCCCTGATTCATAAATTATCCTCATGACAAAAATAGCGAACAGTGTGTTTTTGTACTCAGGCCTAAGTAATAGAATTATTACTTTGATGTTGCAGTATGGTTTAATTAATTCCAGGATTTCTTTTTGCACGTCTTTGAATGCGCGTTGTGCGTCGTCAAAAGTGAAACAAAAAGCATGCTTCTGCTTCTCTTCCTTTGCAGATACCAATCGCCCATTTAGTCTACTTGCCATTCCAATTTGCCCGTGTTTCCCTACCTTTATTATCGTTTGTAGATTCCAAGTTCAATGACTTAGTAGTAGCGCCTGTGTAAACTGTGAGTGGACACGTGTTTGCCCATGTGTGTGCTGTCACACCTCTGTGCTGTTATGTTACTGAAGCTAGTATGCTATACCATTGGTGAGCGTCACGTGAAGTTGGTTTGTATTGAATAATATACTCCTACAAACCCCTTTCAAGAGGGACGTCACAGATTTTCGGTATTCACGGCAGAACCTGGTCCATATCACCTGTGAATCGCCGGGGTCCACTGAAAAAATGTGAATGTCCATGCTTATTTGTTTTTCTCCTGGAGGCCACTCTCTGCTCTGAGGTTCTGGCTGCTGGCTGAGATGAAGTTGATCCAGTGCTGGAGGTCCTCAGGGAATTCGGGACATTCCACCTGAATGGATCCAACGCCCAAGTTAAAGTCCTGAGTTGGACACATGATCCTGTTGACATCTTACCTTCCGCTTGCAGAGATACTGCATGATGTTGTCCGGACTGCTGCGTAGGACAGCCTGCTTGCAGTACATGACGGCGCACACCACGCCGTCCTTGCTTGACACGAACCTCTGCTCCAGGAAGAAAGCTTTGTCGTCCCACGTCACCACCCGACTGCGCAGCTCGTACGACTCGCCGATGCAAAGTGGTCGGCGGTAGCGGATGGTGGTCGCCCCCACCACAATGGAAGCCTTGAGGGCCCGCAGCGCCTTGAAGACGCCGTTGCGCATGTACAGCGAGAAGCGGGCGAAATCGCACTCGCGCAAGTAGCGTGCGTTGTTCATGTGACACATGTCGATGTCGCGCGGGGCCACACGGCCGGTCATGACCTGCTCGGCCGTCACGTCACGCACGGGAGGCTGCAGCCAGGCACGGACGAACACAGCGGCCGCCCGCACGAAGTACCACACGTCCAGGCTGCAGAAGAGAGCCAAGAGGGCAGCGAGCAGCAGAAGCAGCCACATCTCTCTGGAGGTCCATGTGACAGTGTGTAATAAAAAGAATAACATTTAGGTTTGGGGATGGCCCAGACAGAGTCCTGACCAAAATCCAATTGGGGTGACCTGAAGGGGGTTGTGCAAGAGATGATTTCTCACAGTCACAGTTGGAGGGTTTTAGTCCCCCGCCCCCCCAACCCATCACATTAAAAAAAAAAAAATCTTTCTAGCCATAGTGAATGGTACAGGTTAATATTTGGGGAGAAATATATTTTTTTGTTAATATATTTTTGTAATTTAGATACATTTTTACCTGTTAACGTTTTATCAAGTAACTTTTAGTGGTTATATTTTTTGGGGGGCAAATAATTTGCTATTTAAAAAAATCGTTTTTGTTGCCATTTTAACGTTTGTTAGGAATCATTTAGGTTATTTATTTTTTTCTGGTATTTTTATAGTTTTATTTCGCCCACTAACAGCTATGTGTTTTTTTTTTTTGCCAAGTTCATTGTACAGGGTATAATTTTAATATTTTTGAGGGAAATAACTTGCTAGAACTAATCTTTTATTGTTGCCGATGCTAAATTCGCAAGCTTTTTGGTCTTGTACAGGTATTTGTTACCTGAACTATGTGTGTGTTCCCTTTCTTAGCAGGGGGGAAGGAATATTTTTTTAAAGTTGGCTATCTAAATAAAAAAAGCAAAATGTTTGTTTTTAATCATTCCTATGAGGTCTCATGACTCAATTTGAGACACTCATCTATTCTTTCTCATCCCCAGGATGCGTAGAATAACTGAGACATTTGTCAGAAAGGAAAAACAAGTCTTGCAAGACGAACAAGTGTTCTTCACGCAGTTTGGATTTCAAGTGAAGCCTAAATAACAGGGAAATTGGTGCACTCCCACATGGCTGCATGTGCCCGTCACGTGGAGAAGAGTCCTTTAGGCAAGGACTCGAATTTAAATCTGGTCACTTGCAATGCGATTTAAGAACATACAAACAATACCCAAGAGCACTGCACGCGTTTTCCAGTGCAACAACTCCCAACTTCTCACGAAGTTGCTCGCTCTGGCGACATGGAAACAAACTGGAAGTAATTGAAAGCGTGAAACATAAACTCACCCAAGTGTCGTTGGTGAACCAAAATCTTTAGAAAGTCATACTTTTTAAGGGGGGCGGGAATGAATCACCGTGTCTACTTATAGGAAGTACTTCCGACGCTATCTTTCAAAATAAAAGTTTTGAAGAAATGGGTCTTAAGTGCATCCTCAATTTAAAAAGCGCCGATGAACAAAAACATAACAGAGAAATTAAAAGTGTTTTAAAGCGCTCTTATTATTCAGTTATTAGTAGGGATATGACATATTTAGCGTCTGATGTCGTGACTAACGCTTTATTTTGATCTTTAGCTTCACTTCCGGACTTCACACACCGGATGTGACACACCAAAATGATGGCGGCGGTGATTGGTAAATAAGTCACCTTTCGTCTAGTAACCAGACAAGCTACCAGCGAGTTATTATTTAAACCAATGGTTAGACTAGCTTCTAGTTCTTATTCTACTACTATTTACTTATTGATTGACATTAATTCCCCGTTCGATATGCTTCAATTTACCGGTATTCGTTGCATTTTCCACCAATCCGTATGCCCCGTGGCACCATGCTGCCTCTCACAGGTCAGTATTGGTACTACAACACATAACCGTTTTGGGGAGGAGAATTGTGACTGTCGGTATATTTCTTTCCGAACTGATGTGAATGTGTACTGTGTATCAGCCCTGTTTTAAAATAATAAAGCAAATACTTTTCATATATCTTCTTGTGTAAATACAGTACATAGCTAAACAGTATGTGCAAATGAGTCATATTCTCCAAAACAATCACACCTTTAGTAGAAATTTCCTGAATAAAAATCTCAATTGATGCCAGCTGGATGGCTGACTTGTCACCCTTGTAGAAGTGACTTGGTTGTAAACACTTGTTCAGATAGTCCTGATGAAAAAAAAAATGTCCATGTTTGCCGTGAGTTCAAATGCAGACTACCACAGATGAGTGACACGGTGGCTTCTGTGCTACTGGCATCTTGTCCACTCATGCCCTTTCCCCTTGTAACTGCAGTCTTTCATTGCACAAACACTTTTACAGTTAACTTTCTTATGTCCATAAATCACCCTTGCTACCCTGGCTGGAGATACTGTGAGGGGAAGAAGGGTGAGCTATCTGTGGTGGTGGTGAGCCGCCAGAGGAAATCCAAGTCATTTTCCTCCAGGCGTGAAGGCTCCATTACCACCGGCTCGCTGGCGGGGGTTTTAAGGCGGACTTTTCTGTGTCGAGACGCTGACGTGGCACTTTTATGCTGATGAGAAGTCCTTGAGGTGTTCTCCAAAGTGTCAATCGGCTTTAGAGAGCCACAAAAGTTCATGTGAGGTGGAGCGGAGGGAGGATGTGGCCTTCGGAAGGAGGTAGGAGTTAATGTGTACAAGGTTTTATCAGACTTCCTTTGTCCTGTTGATAGTCTGCAATTGTGGAAAGAAAAGACAGAAACGGACAAAAATGAAGTATTTTGGCAAAAAGGAGCTGTGGATTATAGGAAGTGATCACACCACTGGGTTTCTGATAAAATGAAGATGACCATGATAACACAGTGTCTGCAGGCTTAAAAAAGCTAAATTTAGGATTTTAAAATATGTATTTATAAGACCGCTTCCGGCAAATTTCATACCTCTCCTTCACGAGGAATGGGAGAGATGGGTTCAGTGTTATATAACCTATGCTAATGTATTTTTAAAAAAAAGTTTCAGACACCTTTGGCATTGTAGCTATTGTAGCCATACAAACCCTATGTACACTGAAAAAAAGATACGTTGAATTTACACACTTTTATTATGTCAAGTGGTTGCAGGAAATACAATCATCTGGCTCCAGATGATCTTATTTTGGGCAGCCACTTGATGAAATAAAATGGAGTAAATTCAACACACCACTTTTTTTCAGTGTATAGAATACACACACACACACACACACACATACATATACATTGGTATTGAAAATACATGACTGATCATTTATCATTTTAACTGATAAATTGTGTTGGTGTTAGCATTACGATTTCAGCAAAAATGTCAACTTCGTATATCCACCAGACTCACCTAAATGTCTGTCTCGCTGCTTTCTCTGCGACAGGCGGGGGCGGCGAGGGGTAGAGCTCAAAGTCTTTTTGAATAGCCCCTCTCAGTTCTTTCAATTCTAAAAAAAGGTTGTTGAAAATGCAGACACCGACAACCACGTTCATTATATCAGCAGGATTAAAATCATTTTTCAGTGCAGTATCGTGCAGGAGACTCAACCCTTGTCATAGCGTCAATATGCCGCTAGATGGCAGCATTGGCACAAATGTGCCTTCGGAAGTTACCTGCAAGAGTCGGTTCACTATTCACTCCCTCCGCCTGACACTTGCATTGCTTTTTGATCATTTCCTGCAAATCACACAGCACAATCGGGGGTATATGTGACGTTATCTGTGCATGAAGCAGCTTAGTCTCTGACGACTGAAGCCACGGTGGTTAAGTAAATGTACTACATTGATCAGAAAATGTCTTGGGAAAGAGCGAGAGGAAGCTCATGGGCTAAAAGTAACAAAATGTGAGAGAGGAGATGAATTTATGCATGAGACCACTAAACGTTTTCACAGGAGCGTTCCATCATAATTTGCCCTCAAAAATTCATAGCCAGAGCAGATGACAACCAGCATGTGGATGTATGTGCCTGTTAGCAAGCTGATTTCCAACCAATAATTCACAAGCACAACAAAACCTTTTCAAATATAGACAGTTGATTTGAAAAAAAGAAAGGCAACATATTTTGGTCTTTTCCCCAGCGGGACTAAAACTATGGCAACATCTGGCCTCAATAAGTCATAACCCTGACAAGTATGACAACGTTAGGGGCATGCGTTGCCTCGAGCCAGCGGGGGTCGGAACATGTTCAGATGCAGTAACGTGAGGGTGCAGAGGAACCAAAACATGCTTTTTGCATGCGTTTATGTAGCATATGCATGTGCGCGTATGGAAAAAATACGTTTCAGGGTCAGTGGTTTCAGAAGGGCTCACATCGATGCAGTAAATATGACTCTTATCCACACATAGTTGAAGGCTTTGGGGATTAAAACAAAAGAGGATTAAAGATCAACTCCATCCTGTCTTACCTGTATGTGCTGAACTTTTGCTTTCAGCACCGCACATTCTTCAGCTAGGATAGACCTGCAAATGGTTACAGTGGTGGGTCAAGTATACGAAAAGGCAAGGTCGGTAAGCATTTCAAAATGGCAATGTGTTACGGTTCTACTCGGTGTAGGGCACCGGTGTCAAACTCAAGGCCCGGGGACCAGATCTGGCCCGCCACATCATTTTATGTGGCCCGCAAAACCAAATCCAACATGTCAACTTACATGATGCTCGCTAAAATCTGTACCAAAATTCATATTCTCAAACATAATAAATACGTTTTTTTTAAGTAATTGCTCTTTTACACAAAAACACAAAACCTCTTAAAGTGATTGTAATCGACTGCATTAAAAGTTCAAACCAGTTCGGGGCGATGATGGAAAAAAAAATATAATAATCATGATTATTTTGATTGATATTGAAACCAAGATGAATAAAACGATTATCCATCCATTTCAACCGCTCCAACTCATCTCCTCAAAAGTATCATCAAAGTGTCATCGTTGGTCCCTCCACGCTGGACACTTGATTCTTGAACACTCGATTCTTTTTTGTCATGCATAAAATGATTTTGCAAATATCACGTGAAATTCTTTTTCATTGTGAAAATTCTCTTGCATTTTCAATCTGCGATATCCACGCCCTTGTTGCCGCGCGTTTTTGCACACATTCACACCGTGAATAAGCATCACCCTTATTTCTTGGACATATTTATTTGTAACCTATTTTGTTGTTCTATTTTTAGTTTGACAAATCTTGGGATTTCATGGCTCCCTGGGACTTTGGGGATCATATTTCATTGCTGTAGTAGGAGAGTAGCTATGAGGGATGCGGTTCCATATGATCTGCATGGGGAAATGCACACTTATGGATCACTTTTTTTTTTTTCTATTCACGTTGCATTTTCGCTGTGTGTGTGTGTGTGTGTGTGTGTGTGTGTGTGTGTGTGTGTGTGTGTGTGTGTGTGTGTGTGTGCGTGTGTGTGTGACTGCCGAAGCAGATTCAACGACAAAATTAGATAGGTGTGGAGGAAGGTGGGCCAAGAGATAATGAGGAGAGGTAGGGAAGGTGTTTGTGCAGCAAGGTATTCCGGTAGGTATGTAGTACAAGATGAAAAGCAAATCTTTTCAAAGATTTGAGACATTTATTCTGCAGTTGTTTTTCCATTTGGAATCTACGGAGACAAAAGCTGCAATCTGGGTCATGTCGGAAACTGCAGGTCCCCAGACACATGATAATGAATCTCTATTAAAAAGTTGCACGCAGGCAGGAGGCGATGGCTTAACAGAGCAAGGACAAACACACAGGCGGTCGCTTTCCCGAGGAAGCGGTCGCTCCCTCTCCCGTTACATAAGCGCGCTCGAAATCGTCCGTCCACTGGCGTCCGGCTCGGGACGCGCTTTCTTACAATGGACCCTTTTGTTCTGCTCGAGTCAGGAAATGGAGGAGAGAAAGAGCGGGAGGGAGAAAGGGGAGAGGAACAAGGCATTCCTCCAAAATAGCCCCCATTGACCGCGCCGCTACACGAACCGTGACGCGTAGGGACGGAGGAAGAAAAAGAAAAGGATGCAGAGGGAAGGAGGCGAGAAAAGGGGAAAAGCCGTCTGGGAGTGAGGCAAGAAAAACGGGCTGACACGCCATTCGGTGTGTTGAGCAACCAATTAAGTCCAACATGATCAAAATCCAAGATGCTTTGACACCGTTTTGACTCCTCCACTAACAACCGGACACGACCTAAATAAATAAACGGATTTTTGCCAAGTGCTAATGTCAGGCCGGCCGATGAATCGGTTGGGCCCAAGTAATTAGCCTCAATGAGGGAGATGATTGTCTCTGCTGTCTGCAATTTGCTAAGAGACAGTAGCTCACCGTAAGGCTGGCCGTACATTTGGCTAATTAAGTTTGAATGTAGTCTTGAAACTTATTTTTGAAAAGAGACTAATCTCAAGCCTGGCTGTGGTTAGTCGTGGTGTGTCCAGGGGAATGCCCCCCTCCCATCCCCCCACCACAACTGCTTGTGCTTGATGGTGTGTCCGCTGTATGAGCAAACATACCCCGGGGATGTGCACACGAGTTGACAAGTGTCATTCTGCACGCCTCTCCTCCCAATTTTCCTCAGTGCGGCGCTTTTACGTTGCATTGTGGTACTTGGCAGCCATTTTAGACACAAAAACAAAGACAGATGAAGCACGAAGCCGATGATCTTTATGCGACATGAGAAAAGGCTCCGAAAATGTTCTGAGCCTTCGGTGGCAGTGCCAAGACTGATCGGAAAAATTGTGCGTAATCCGAGGTCAGTTTTCTTTTTAACCCTTTCAGGGACAGCGGTTACGACAGTGGACGTCTTATCGTGTTATCGGGTTACAGGGTGCAGGAAAGTGTTAACAACTCTGCGACTTACTTGAGATGTTCAACCACGTTGTTGATGTCGATGATATTCAGCTTGTCCTTCAACGCTTCAATCTCCCCTTCGATGCTCGACTGGATGGACAAGCGTGAGCTACGACACAGAAAAAGCGAAGGTAAGAGAGGTACACGGTGAGAGGCGTCGGATGAAAACGTCGCCCGACCACACCTGAGATCATCTTTCGGCTCAGCGCCGATGTCAAGGCGACCCAGGGCGAAGTTTACCGTCTTCTCGTTGTAACGACTTAAGAACTCCTCGTCGTGCCTGCAATGACGAGACAACATCTGCTCCGTCACGGTGCATCAAGAGCAAAATAATAGCGCATCCCAGCCGTGATTATGAGCCCTATAAACATAAAATGGAAAAAGTTGAGCAGCGGCATCATGTATTCTGGAAACTCCTTGAGGGGGGAAAACAAAGTAACTAAAGCAGGCAGCCACAGGCGAGTCAACAGCCTGCTTGGTTTTATTGTTCCCGCATTAGAGAAAATGAGTGTTTTCGACACACAGACAAATCACACAGATACTGACTGGTTTGTGTGTGTGTGTGTGTGTGTGTGTGTGTGTGTGTGTGTGTGTGGGTGTGTGTGTGTGAGACCGAGAGAATGGATGGCATCAGGACCACACAAGAGGAGTCCAATAAGATAAATCAGTTGACTTTTATAAGGCACACAGCCCCATACAACCTCATATAAATGGCTCAAATATCACAATAAAAAAAAAAAAAAGTGACATTTGCCGCCCACGAGTCCCGCGGGCGTGACGGCAAGCAACTCGGTGGCGTTAGGCCCTAGCCCCGACTGCTACTGGGAACTAGCCCAGGTAATTAGATTACGCCTGTATACACTACAGTAGTACCTTCTACTTACTGTACGAACGTCTCTTTATATGAAAATTTCAAGTTATTGAAACGCCTCAGCAGGAAAATATTGCTTTTTGTTTCGAAAGAAATTTCAAGATACGAAAGGTAAGAATATAGTATGGGCTGCTACTCGCAGTTTCCTGAACGCAACATACTTATAGCTGTTCTGCCATTGGCTACGACTGAGCATCATCCTGGCATCCCATTGGCTAAGAGGGACCTCTACTGTCTACGCGTGTAGATAAATAAATAAATAGATATGTGTCGATGCAGCGTCCTCGCCATTCGCCCCACGTTCCATGAGGTGTTCCGAGAGTTTTACGTAATTGTGAACCAACCCGAAAAAGTGTTCACCAGTCGGGCGATCGCTGACTATGCTGATGTTTGCCTTAAACATTTTCGAAGGATTTTTAAAAGCCGACAAATGCAACTTCCTTGGATCAGTTCTTTACAAAACGCCGAGCAAAATAACACTTCTGAGAGAGAACATGAACTCAAGAGGGCAAAAAAACGATGAGGACGCAGTTCAAAGTCAAATGACCATCTTTTATTCTTGTTTTTCACATTAAACACAACTCTCATTTATTGCGCAGTAATCTAATTGCAACATGCATTTGTTACATTTTTGGATGCATTTTTTATGCTTTTGAAAACATTTATGTCTGAATTTTGTGGGGGCTTGGAACGGATTAGCGCATTTACATGGAAAACGCGTCTCGACGTACAAATATTTTCTAGTTAAGACATTTTTTTTGAACATTACTCACTTTCTTAACGTGAGAGCGCACGTGTGTATCTATGCATAAATCTACAAGACAAGATCTGTGCTGGCAAAGCTCCCACGGTAAATAACAATGAACTACATTTCCCCAGTCAACGGGGACTTTATCTAACGCATGACATTTCAGCCTCTGCACTGTTCAAGAATGACTGGTAGCGTGCAGAGGAATAAGTCTTCATTTTGTGTCTGGAAAAGTGACACTGAAACAAGTCCACCTGAGTTATTTCTCAAAATCCAATGACAGAGGAAGTATTTGATCAGTTAAAAAAAAAGGAAAAAAAAAAGGGGAAAAGCAACAGGAAGGAAATCGGAAAATTGACAGGCAATAAATAGTGGCAAAACTAGTAAAAAAAAAAAAAAGGAAGGAGAAAACAAGATGTTGAGCTATTCTTGGAGGTTACACAGGGCAACGTTCCTGCCAGGAGCAGCGTGGTTGCTAAGCCAACAACTAGCACTCACAAGCAAACACACAGACACACACACATGCACACACACAAAGCAGGTTTACGACTCGCTTCTCTATTTCCCAATAAAAACCATTTGACCGCCGAGAACTAGTTGCCCGTCGAATGCCCTGACATTAGCGCGCCAGGGATTAAACAGCAAACAGCAATTAGGATACTTTATAACCACTCCTTAGGTTTTTTATAACGCTGATAACTTTGCCTTCATAAAGAAAGAAAGGGAAAAAAAAGTCCCAGCGTACCAAGAATGACACTGAGAGCTCTTAAATAGTTGCATCAAATGCCCCAAGATGACTCGATGTTTCTTCACTTATCACAGCAGGACACCACCAATAATTTTTTTTTTTTTTTAAGATGTGTTTTTAGCCGGCCACTTAGCGCACGCCCATATATTCAATCCAATAACTTAACATGGCGCAAAGATGGCGTCTAAAATCCAGCGCGACGCTTTCGTTTTAAGTGACTTATTGTATTTCAACACTCCCGCTCCCCCCGAAACCTTTGTTTCCGACACTTTCCGTCACGTTTGTGACTGACAAGGGAAGCAAAGCGTCGCGTTTTATGGACGTCTTTGTTGGAGAGGGGGAAAACGTGCATTGAGGATTGGGATAAAGCAAGACGTGGTGGGAAGACAAATTACAAGCACACAAAAAGCATGATCGGCCTTCACTTTCGATCCAATTCTACTTGAGAATAGAGTTGCTATCTATCAAACATCAATGATTGGGAAGCTTTTCCCGACCGGGGGCCAAAAGCACTCTCACTTGCATAATATTGTTGAAAAATACACAGTGGTCAGTGAAACAACTACTAGCGGGAATGCAATCTGACAAAACAAACTTTGACAAGCTACAAATGGAGAACCTCTTTTCGAATTGAATTTATTAATTTTATTATAATTTTTAATTTTTTTGCAAGTCACTCAAAATGAAGCATTCAAAGGAAGTGTGTGTTCTGTGAAACATTGAGGGACATTCATTTGCGGTTCGTAACAATGGTCACAACGGGGCACCGAGTGAAAATTGATTTTTTTGAGGTGTTGATTCTAAAATTCTGGTCACCGATTATTTGGCCAATTTGTTAAAAAATACATTGCATGAAAAAAAATATAACTTTTTGGGGTTCCCTTGACATTTATAACAATAAAGATATGAACTTTTGACTGTTTTACAATTTTACAACTGAGCGAATAATCGGCAAAAATCGAGAGTTTTAGAGATTTTTTTTTGGGGGGGGATATTTGAACGGCATCATCTTTGAATAATGTAATGTGTTTATGTGTAAAAAGAAAAAAAAAAGAGGGGGAAAATGGCAAAAATTTGCCAAAAAAAAAAAAATCGTCTGATTTTAAAAGAGGTCTTGTCGGCTAATTAAAGAGGCCTTGGTAACTGCCATTGTGACTTTTAATACCCAAACGTGGCAAATTACATCAACTGTTGTTTGGATTCAAGTGCACCACATATCAATATAGGCTGTGTTTGAATAAAATATATATTTTTGATGAATGTAAGAAAGTTACTTTTGAGGTGACAATTGACATTTTTCTCGCCCACAATATGTCCGGTGTACCTTCGGGATAGGGGCCAAGCTCTGCCGTGAAGAGCAAAAATTCACGGATAATGGAGGCCTCCTGGCCTCATTCAAAACAACATTTCGAACATTATCAGAATAAACGATCCAAAAAAAAAAAAATTTAGAAGTCATACATCTTCAGTGCAAAAGAAGAGACGGCTTGTGAGTGACACCGACCTTCCTTCCCTGAGGAATTTCTCTTGGAGATTCTCCAGCAGCATCCTGACCTCGGCCCTCACCAGCTCCTTGATCACCGGCGGGTCGGCCAGGGGGCCTTTGAATCGGGAGAACTGGGCTCCAGCCTGCTGGCTGTCCTGCCATATTTTGTACCACATGACTGCCTGTGAGAGCACACAATGAAAATGAGCGTGGTGAGGGGTGGGTGGGGGGGCATACATGCTGGCGACCAATTTTCTGAGCAAATCGGGGAAGGACAATCACTCTCAGATCCCCACAACAGAGGATAATCAGTCGGCATCATCTTTCCGAGACATCCGATAATCGAGCGTCTGCTGACGGCGATCAAAAGGGGAGAGAAATTCTCCAATTTGCCCAGATCAATTGGTATATGCGTGCTGTGTGCTTCCCGCAATCGCGCACAATTCCTCGCCTCCAGTCTTCTCACAACTGGAGCTGGAAAACTCTCAAAAGTGTGCTTTGGAAACAAAATCTGAAAATAATAAGGGGGAAGAAACGACCGAGAAGGGGTGCAGCAAATGTGCATCTGTGTCTGGCTACCATTAACGCGCTCTACAACTGCTTCTTGTCAATCACGTCTGACCCCTTTCAGAAAAAAAAAAAACATCTCTTCAAAGGAATACACAAGAGGACCTGGAAGCACATTTTTTGTTCCTTTTTTATTTTATTTTGATCCACGTATGTTTCTGTGTTTGTTCAGCAGTGACAGCACACACACATCTCCGCACGGCCAGTTAGCGCGGCTTCCTTTGCGGGCCCTTGGCTGTGTTTATGTTAAAGGCTTCATGGCTCAAAGGCTGACAAGTGGATTTTGGTTCCTCCCTCTCTCCCCCCTTTCCTTCCTTCCTTCCTTTTGCAGTCAAAACAGCAGATCTCATGCAGGAGCTATTTTAAGGGGAGCTCTGTGAAAACCCCAAATTATTACACCGGGTTTGTGAATACGAGGCTTTATTTTTGTTCGCCGTAGGAAGATTAGAAAGGAGCGAGAGAGTGGTCTCGCCGAAGCAAGTCGAACCACGACAGACAATGTCGGCCTTGATGGAGGGGAGGAGCCGCTCGATCGCTTTCGAGGCGGTGCGCGGAAAGCGCGGGATTCATTACAAGGCCGCGGTAGAAACAGACAGTGAGGCTGGGTACGTCCTGGGCACATACAAAAAAAAAAAAAAAAAAAACATTCCCACTCCAATTTCACACCTAGTGTCCATTTGGAGTCTGCAATGAAGCTAACATGTCTGATTTTGGAATGTGGCAAGAAACTCAGAACTGCGAAGAAGACGGTCGACGCCCTCGCTCAGTGCACTTCAAAAGGAACAATTCTCAACGTGGCTTTCGGAGCCGATCACGGATCACCGTATTTTTAAAATACACGATAAAGGGTAATACGGTATATGTAAACTATTTCAGCAGCTTCTTTATTTACTATTTGCAGGCGACTGGGGCCCCGCCCACAAAGAGCCATAAATGTGCGTCTAATTGACACCCCTCGAAATGCATTGGGCGGCGCGGCGGCCGACTGGTTAGCACGTTCGCCTCAGAGTCACGTTAATGGTGGAAAAAAGTCTTTAAATGATTGTCCTTTAGAAGTTTTGAATATAACCCAGACCTGGCATTTAAAAGAGGGTGTGTAGACTTGGTACATCCACAGTATGCGCAGAATGGGGACACACACTTTCCACGTTCTCATTTGAGACCGACTGCTGATTGCCAACGACTGGACACCGTCAGGCATGATGACATCTTCCTGTTTGCTTTTTCTTTGGCTTTTTTTACAACACCCACAAGAAATATGCAAACGCCTGAGATGAGATTCAAATCCAGACCCTCAGAACTGCGAGGCAGACATGCTAACCGCCAGCTCACCGTGCTTTTCCCCCATGATCGGAGAAAAAAAAAAGTTTCAACAGCACTCCGGAGCAGTGTTTGGGAAACCAAATTTCCTGAGCCAGCATCACCTCACATTTTCTGTGCCACACGCACACAGACGTGCGCGCGCACACACGTTTTCTCAAAACCCACATTTCAGGTAAAGAATTCCATGTAGGCAACAGTCTTATCAAGAGTGGAGGATTAGCCTCTTTTTCGCCATCATGCTCCCTCTAGCCCCCACTCGCTGAATATGTATGTGTGTGCGTGTGTGTGCGTGTGTATATGTGTGTGTGTGTGTGTGTGCATGTGTGTGTGTGTGTGTGTGTAAGCCTGTATGATTTGCATATGAACTGATTCCCTCTGCATATCATTCTAATTTGATTTCCATTCTCCAGGCCTTTAATCGTCGCCAATTATCTTCTTTTGCATGCGAAAGGCCATTAAAGTTGATGACATAATTGAGGCCCTAATATGCCCCTGATTGTGTGTGTGTGTGTGTGTGTGTGTGTGTGTGTGTGCGCGCGCGTGTGTGTGTGTGTGTGTGTGTGTGTGTGTGTTTTAAATGTGGTTCATTTTAACCAGTTTTTAGTTTGTTCGAGGGCCCCCCCCCACCCTTCTAAAATGCTGTGTGGAGTTTGCATGTTCTCCTCGGGCCTGTGTGGGTTTTCTCCGGGTACTCCGGTTTCCTCCCACATTCCAAAAACATGCACGGCAGGCTGATTGAACACTCTAAATTGTCCCGAGGTGTGAGTGTGAGTGCGAATGGTTGTTTTTCTCCGTGTGTCCTGCGATTGGCTGGCAATCGGTTCAGCGTGTCCCCTGCATAATACCCGAAGATGGCTGGGATGGGCTCCAGCACCCCCCACGACCCTTGTGAGGATAAAGCGGATCGGAAAATGGATGGATGCATATGTATTCTCTCCTGTACGGACATACAGCGATGCCAAAATAATTTAAAATAAAACCTGAAAGCTCATGCATCATATAAATTGACGAAAACAAAACTGTATGGAAATGTCAGTCCCCGTGGACTTTATGTATTTATATATTTGTTGTTTATTTGTCTAGCTTGTTTTTCAGGCCAGTTGGTACGCTGACTGCCGAGAGTCGGTTAACATTAATCAGCAGATGGAGGCGAGCGGATGGCAGAAAGCACAAAAGTAAAAAAAAAAAAAAAAAAAAAAATACCCAGAGATGCACAAATGTGTCCGGTGTTTGCAATGAGACATTTTTGATACCAACTAAAGAGAAGAGCTTTTTTTTTAAGGTGAAATCCATCACAATCTGCAACATGACACAGGGGCCACATTTCAACAAGTCATCTGAGGGTGATGACATTTTTTTGGTTTATTTTTAGACCATTTCAATGAGTTTGTGCCGACTGATTGATTTCCATCTCAACACAATTGCTTCTTTCTGATCCATAGAGAATCTCTTTTTTTTTTTTTTTTTGGTTACTCCATTCTGCAGTGCACCGCCGCCTATTCATCAACAGGGTGTGGGGGCCCTGACGTGTGACAATTCAGGCCTGGAAAGAATTCGGCCCAACTTCCCGATGGCCACCATGCCACGCCACGAATTGTCATATGTGACGACCCCAATAACTCGTCCAAATGTAGCCCAGGAAACATTCAAATCTGATGCAGTGTTTTGTTTTTTTTGTCTGAATCTAATAAGCCACATCTGGGCGACAAAACATACCCGTCAGCCACATGTTCCAATACTTGGGACTGACTTTTGCTTAAGTAAAGGTGACATTGTAATTTGGGCTTCGGCTTTCTGAAGCTCTTTCTCTCCTTTTTTCCTATTTTGACTTCAAACTCATGTCTATGGCAGCAATGAAGTAATTGGCCTCACTGTTCCAATAGTTTTGGGAAAGGAGTGGGTTAAACGCTTTGGGGTGTTTTATAACAGTTCTTCTGAGGTCTGATTTGTTTTTAGGCTTTCACAGTGGGCCAGATCAAACAGTTTCATAGTTTCCCCGCCCCGGCTTTTGCAAGTACTTATTCCCCGGTTCCTCGAAGAAAAACAGGGGTCTTTTCCTTTGATCTACCCGCTTATATCGGGACTTGTCATCAGTACAGCAAATCTGTCTTGAGTGAGGTCAATAAGCCACAGCCGAGGGAGGAGTTCAGCGGGCCTTTGTGTAAATATAGACGTCTGGCTGCCTTACATTTGGACGGCGGTGCCACTATTAACCCAGTTTGGCTTTTATTAGGCAGTCTGGAACTTGTAATTGCAGCGTAAAAGCGGCTCAACGAAGCTTCGAGCAAAACTGATGTTTTTGTTTTTTTTTGTTGTTCTTACACTTTAACTGCCAGGACAGCTGAGGTGAGTTAAAGTTGATCCACACGGATAAGGAATCCTATTAAAAAAAAAATCTGACACATATTCTCAAAGGAGGGCGAATAATTTGGCTTCCGTAACCATAGTGTTTTAACAAATTTTATGGTGATAGAGGAAACTCTGTGGCTGTTCAGTACGATATAAACCATACATTTTCTATACTGCTTATCCGTACTATTGTCACAGCTGGGGCAAAATGGATAATGACCAGCATGGAAAGGTTTCCTCTTCCCTCACCGTCACGCATTTTTAGATGGTGAGTAGTTTTACTTTATTTTGGTTTTATTAGAACAGAATGGAATGCCTTTTTTATTTGGTGCCCCAAAAAAGTAATGTGCCAGATGTGGAATTATACATCTCTTTACACATGTGTGGCAATTCAGAAAATTAATGTTATTTAACAAATCAAGATTCGAGATTGTCTGAGAGTTTGGGCCTTCAAAATGTCATTGTAAAAAAACAAAAAACAAAAAACAAAAAGAGAAAGAAATCCCCTTCACCTCTGCGTGTAGCTCCGTGTACATGTCAACCAGCGAACATCCCAGCGTGGCATGAATCTTGGGCATCTCGGACCTTGGGACATGCTCAATAATCAGGCTCCACAGAGATGGACCGGGGCACCAAGTGTGGTTCCCACTGGTAGACTGCATATGGGTGGCAGTCAGCGGCTGAAGAATAAACACAAAGTTAATGTTACAAGAGTAATGGGAGCCAAATTGATGGAATGTTTCAATCATTCTTTCAGTATAATCTTAATTGACTCACATCCATACATTTTCTATAGCGCTTGTCTTCGTTAGGGAGGCGGGTGAGCTGGAGCCTATCCCAAAGTACACCCTGGACTGATCAGTTACAGGGCACCTGTAGACAAAGAACCATTTACACTCATAGTCACACTTTTTAGAGTTTCCAACGAAATTAACATGCATGTTTTGGAATGTGGAAGGAAACCTACGCAAGCACAAGAGAGCCCGCAAACTCCACACAGGAAAGAAGAAGCCTCGATTCGAACCCAGAGCCTGGGACCTGTGAGGCAGCTACATTAAACGCTATTCCATTTCTGCCATTTAAAGTTCAATGAATTAGTTAGTAGCAATATCTTATGCATTATTTAACACAATTTATAAAAATATAATTAGAGTTGTATGAGCGTAATACTGTAGTTGACTGACAGGTTGCATGTTAATGTGGGCAAAATAATACCTTTTTTTCGAATTACTATTTCAGTATTCAGTACACTGCATTGTCTAATGCTGTAGTTGATTGACAGATCACATTCAGGGTAGCTCGCCAATGCTCACGACAAACTTGAGGTAAGAGACCAGTCTACGAGTACAGTACGTAATTCAACACAACTAAAATAAAACTACTTAAACGCACCGGAAAGCTCACAGTGTGTTTAATTTCCGTAGAGTATGAAGAAGTGGTAAAAGATACTCACCGTCTATCTGCCCTGAGTACGACTCCGGTGGTATCCAAGGCTAACATGTCAGTTGCTATGGGATGGAAGTATCGCGAGATCTCGCGCTCGCCTCCTCCACCTCAGCTGATTTCATGGCGCACATATTTGGACTTGTAATACTTTCATTTCGCGTCAGACGCTGCCGTCACTTTAATTATGTCACTATAAGGGAATACTGTGACAGACGAGTGTGTAAAAACGTGCTTAAAGTCACTTCTAAAAGCTCACTAATGGGGCGCTTGGGGGAGGACACCGTATTACTCCCCCCAATCCCTCCACCCACTTTTCCACCTAAACTCCAGACTCCAGACGGACTTTGGTGGAGCAAAGACTTGGAACAAAGTCAACAAGTTTTAACAACAATGTGACACATTTTCCATGCAGAAAAAAAAAATCCACCAACCCAACCTTCCTGGACTATTTTCACCACACTGAGTTGTAACTGAAAACCATGTTGTCGAGTCAATGCATCTTGGCGGTGCTCTTGTGCGCTCAGGCGGTCCTCGGCTTCTCGGTGGCCGGCCATCAGCAGCAGCAACCGCCGCTGGTGAGCACCTGCGAGGCCAACGGTAGCGTCTACTACGTGGGGGAGTGGTACTTCCTGGACTCGGACCAGTGCACCCAGTGCGAGTGCACCGCCGAGGGCCCGGAGTGTGCCCGCACCGAGTGCACCAGCCTGCCGGCGGCGTGCATCCATGTGAGCCATTACCCCAGCGACTGCTGCCCCCGCTGCGAGAGGATCGGCTGCGAGTACCGGGGGGTGGTCTACGACCTTGGGCAGAACTTCCAGGTAAGACCCTGGTGGAGCCTCCGCGACTCCTCCACCGTGATGGTCATAAATAAAAAGTAAGAAGAGTAACAACTATCGATTGAATAATATTTGTTTTAAATATTAATTTAAAAAAAGTGAAAATGAATAATGAGAAAATAATACAACAATATTCAAAAGTACATTTTAAAATATATATTAAAAATAAATACCAGGAGTACAGCAATCCAAAACAAACTCACCTAAATAGTTCAAATTAATACAATATTAAAAACGACCCCCATAAAATAAATGTAAAAAGTCATAATTGTTTTGAAAGAGGTCATAAAAGTGAAAAAAAATCCCTTAATAGCTAGCAGTTAATACCCTTTTTAAAATGACAAATACAGGAAAAACATTTAAAATGTTGACTGTATAGTCTCAAGATGTAGTTGGAAAAAAAGTGAAAACAATTCATTCAATGACTGTAAATGAATACAATGGCATTAAAAAGTACAAAATTAAAAATATATTTAAAAACATTTAGGTGTAAATAACTACATAATCACTTTACTGTAATACAAAATTTTAAAATGCCTCCCGAAATAAAACAGTCTTTAATGCAATTTTTTTAAAATGATTTCCCCAATAAAAGTGGAAGAAAAATATTAAATTCATTCAAATTAATACATTTTTAGAAAATATCTTTTAAAAATTTATTATCTACACATTGATGGTATCGAAGGAACAGAACATCGCTGTGAATTACTCACAAGTGTAGTTGTAGGAACCTAGTGGCAAGTTAGTGTATTACACATTCAACTACAACCCACCGAACACGTTTTTTTTCACTTTTTACTTGAAAGAGATATTTAGACGCATGTTCATGTCACATTGTGAAAAAAAAAGTGAGAATGAAATATGTGATCATGTTTCATGCACACTGCACGTCTTCGGCACTTACCAGCAAATGTCGCCCCCTATTGAAAGTGGGAGTTACTGGACACTTCAATAGGGACACTTACATTCTACAGGACGGACTGTCTAGTGATTCGAAGGGTGACAGCTTGCCCACTATGTATTTTTAAAAGCAGAACGTCTACTTAATACAATTAATATGAAGTTAAATGAAAAATATAACCTCAGGTATTAATTGAAACGTATGGTTTTCCATATTTTGGCTGCGTAAGACTCAAAATGCTACCAACTGCCACTAGAACCAGAAGCAACATTGAAAAATTGATCAGCTGCAGGTATGTAAAGCATATTGACTTGTGTGTTTCCAAGCCAAGCGAATGCGAGCAATGTACGTGCGACATCTCTGGCATCGCCCGCTGTTTGGTGGCCGACTGCGCGCCCCCACCGTGCGTCAACCCTGTGTACCAGCCCGGCAAGTGCTGCCCTGAGTGCAAGGAGGGTGAGAATCCACGCCAGTTTTAAATAATACAGTCACATTCAAGCTGGGTACGGGCCAACCTCGTTACAATGTACCCCGTTCATGTTTTCACCCATTTAACGTTCACAATTAAAAGTCCCGATTTCACGTAATCCATTTTCCATGTTTCACTTGTGCTTACAATAGAAAATAAAGTGCCTGTTTGACTCCCTTCAGGTCCAAACTGCTACACGGACTCATCCCGCAGTCGGGTGATTGCCGCCGGCGAGCCAGTCTGGGTGGACTCGTGCACCAAGTGTCGTTGCCATGACGGCCAGGATGCCGGCTACTGGGAGGGCAACCGGCTGGCCACCTGCTCCCGCCTCAAAAATTGCACGCCCGAGCAGTCCAAGACACAAAACTGACACGCTCACTCAAAATATGTCTTTAAGTAAAAAGGTTTGTGGGGCAAAAAAGACTTCCGCCATATAGTAGTGACTGTTGAAATTACAACTGAGAACCACAGTCAACCCCTGAAAATTCGCAGTTCTCGTATTTGCAGATTCATTTTTGTCCCAATATTTTTTTTTCACATTTTGTATTCTCCTGTTTTTTCCGGGATTTTTTTCCCACCCCACTTTGCATCGTTTCTTGTGGGGAAAATATAGTGAATGTTTTTCAGCATTTTGTGAAGAATTAATTGGTTTAAAAAAAAAAAAAAAAGTTGCCTATCCTTGCTGTACGCAGTGCCGGTGCTAGCATGATTGCGCCCTGAGCTCCTCATATAATATTTTAGATGTCAGTTAAACATTGACAAGAATTGGAACATATACACATTGTTCAATTAATTAACAACATGACTCAGTTATCTTTTGAAGAAAATTATTCAAGACATTCACATTATGAACGCATTCCCTATTTTAACATTTTCATGTATACTTGCCAACACCTTTCCACAGCTCTCCCAGTGTTCAAAGTAAGCTAACAACCGAGCAGCTATAAATAAGGATACACTAGTAAAATTGACTGCAAAAATGACAAAGTAAAACAAAACTGTCGGCGCTAGCTTAAATAGCTAATGTTAGCGAACGTAGCCTGGAAATTGCAGTACAATGAGACGTAAAACTCAAAAATATATATTGATCCGGATTAACGGGAAAAATGAGATCAATTTTAAGACCTGTTCAAAGGGGGAATCGTCCACCAGGGGGCGCAAATTCCCTGTCCAAACTGCAATGACATTGTAACTTTTTGGGGAATTGGCCGTTTGTTTCCGTTTCCAAGAGTGGCCATCCTTACTTACTTCGCTGAGCAGTTGGGATGATTTAATAAAAGCTACATTGTGGCTTTGTGCATTTACAAATCTGTGTTTTTTTACAGATGTAATATTGCAGAATGCCATATCACAGGGCAATTTTTTTGGGGTGTTGCCAACCTGTTGCCACATACACATCAAACATGCGAAGAAAAGCCAAGTTTTTAAAGTTCATCCAGTGAGTTAAGGGGAAAAAAAGCAGCAAGCAACAACCTCTGGTTGTCCTTTGAGAACCAGACTAAAATTGTTACATGCATCCCTATTTATTATTTATTAGTTGACAGGATATTTTCCTGCTGTGTGAACCAGGTGAACTGTGTCATTCACACCAAATCTGTAATGTCCAACAATCTGTGAACGAGATAAATTCAGTTTATACGAGATGTGCGTTAACGGCTTAGCATAGTAAAGCCATGGTACACCGGTAAGGTCACGTAAATTTTTTTAGCAAAGCAATAAATCCAGTTTTTAAAGCCGTCCTGACCGCGTTGAGCTTCTCTAATGTCAGTGGCATGAACGTCAAGTGGCTTCATTGAATGCAACGTTGAGGAATTGACTGCCTTTGTAATGGCTCCATATGGAAATGAAGAAATAGACTTTTCCTCAAATCAATAATGCTGTAGCAAGAAAGAATATGGACTTACTGAGTTCCTATGCTATCAAGCTTCGACACAAAGCTTCATTGATTGGAGTGACAGAGAGGCGGGTGCAATGTGATACTGGATTGAGGGTGCGTTAAAATATTCTCAATTGAAGTCGCGTTTTTCCATTACACAACTCTGGGCAAGCGCAAAACCCTGCCGCATGAGATCAATTTACTAATCCAGTGATTTTCAGGTTTATTTTGATAGTTTTAAGAAAAATGACAAAATGTGAAGAGTGATTTGAAAAAAATGTTTTAAACTCCTCGACAGTCACTTAACGACTCCAAATACAAAAAATGTAGAGTAAAACATTCTCAAAAATAAGTTGCAAAAGTGAAAGGAAAACTTGTAAAATATTCAAAAAAGAAACAACACACAAAATGCACAGATAATTCCAGTTCCAGTTAAATATAAATCAATATCAAAAAAACTCAAAAATTAAAAATATACATTGACAGTCTATGTACTGTATGTAACCCCCCCCCACAATGGTCAAGCATCTTTACAAAACAAAAGGTGCAAAAAAATCTCAAATTTTAAATGAAAAATTAGGAATAACTTCAAATCAAAAATATTAACAGCAAAATGATAACAGTATAAATAAAACTGACCAAAAAAGCTCACAGTAAAACAGTCATAAAAAATAGTAACAAAAGTGGGAGAAGCAAAATTCCCATGACCATCACAGGAACATTTTTAAAAGGACATGTAAAGTAAATTATGAATTCCTTTCACTGGTGAATTATTTTTTTAAAGTTAGCAATTACAAATAATCCACATCATAAAATATATTAAAAAAAGACAAATATGTAATATCAATCAAAATAAATGTCAACGGTATATAATTATTTTTAAAAAGTTGATCAATGTGTAAAAGGCAGTTAATTCCCCAAAATAAGAAAATGTCAAGAGTAAAATAATTGTAAAAAACAAAACTAATAATAACAATACAGGTACAGACAATATATCGCTTATTTTTATGATGACAGATCCTATATAAGCGTATTGAAAAACAATCTTATCTGTGCAAATTAACCTGGTCTGGAAGTGCATGAATTAAAAAAAAAAAAATCAGTACGTTTAAAAAAAAAAAAAAAAAATCAAACTTTACCAGCTGTATGACTTTGCCTCAGGCAGAAATAAAATCAACAAATGAGAGAATCATCATTCATTTTGAACCAGAAGTTTTATTCATTGTATAGAAAAATTAGTTTTGATATGACATAATGCATACTATATAAGATAACATTTTTAACATTCAATGTACAAAAAAAAAAAAAAAAAAAAAAACCATTGTTTGAATTTACAGAAGATATATTTTTTCAAATTTAAAAACGCCTTCGGGCCCAAACGTCCCGACACAGGAAGCCCGCCCTGTTGTAAGGAACAAAAACCCGCAAGTACGGCTTCACTTCAAACATCACAGCACTCCGAGTCCATTAGCAAACACGGAGCACTTCGCGGTGCGCCGCTGAAAGGAAAGGAAATGAATAGAAATGCGAAAACCCAACTCGGTGTAAATGTACACTGGGGGCCGCTCGCGTTTGCCCTTCACTCGCATCAAATCCAATTAGGTCTGACTGATGTGATGCAGTAAGCCTGCCTGCTGAGTGTCTTCTACTCTTCTAGTAACGATTTTGGAAGATTTCACCCCCCCACCCCCCACCCACAAAATGCAGCAATTCGTAAACACTGGATTCTTTTTGGCATGGATATGGAAAAAGATATCTCCAAATTTCTAGTATATATTTGTTTAGGTACCTGTTCTTTACCTCAGCATTTGTTTTTCTGGCAATTTTTTGACTTCCTTTTTTTTTTTTAATTCCTTACACGTGAAAACATCTGAGTCGAAGTCTGTACTCGAGTCGAAACAGTACTTCTGCATTTAGACAGGTAAGTACAGTGAGAGTACTAAATGAAATCTAGCGATTTATTTATCGATTTATTTTTTTTTGGGGTTGACTAATTCCCACTAAATTCTCATGCGAAAAATTCATTTGATGGATTTATTACTCATTGAGAGACTAAAAAGGCAAAATAAAATGGACTTAACATCAAGCAGAACTGACATTTCCTCATCAGGGGAAACGGGCTTGGTAGCACGGTGTGAATGCTTGTTTGTCTAAATGTAAAAAAACAAAAAAGTGAATACTTGAATAAACTTGCGCTTCATTAATTACTTAATTATATTATTATTTCAGAGCAGAATGTACTCTGTTCCAACGGCTACTATTACTGCACTTCATTGCCACCTTTATAAGAAACAAGACAAACTGACGAGTTTAAATGCCAAAGCCGACAAGTGTCATTCAGAAAAAAAACAAATAATAAAAATTGTGAATTTATAATTGCCGTCAGTTACACGCAGACTGGCCCCTGCAAATTGTGGGGGTCCCCCTCTACTATGAACTGAACTGGGATTTTAGGATTAAGGTTAATGAAAGCTTTTGGTGTCATCGGCATAGATAGGTGACTTTTTTTTTTTTTTGTATTTGTAATTTTTCTGTAAACATTACAAATGATCCAGTTCAATCAAGCCAGTCGTCCCAAGCTAACATATGGCAGCTGTAACCGCACACAAGCTTTTGTCGCCTCAATAAACCGAACCACTTAATGACTTTATAACATTTTATATTGCCTCATTACCCAATCGAGAATATTGTCCAGGGGTGGGTGGGGTGTCTGGGGGGGGTTGCATTTGGTTGCTCTTGGTGGCACTAAAGCCTGCAGTGAGATTTGCAAGAAGGAGAGCAGAAAAGGTCAACGAGACTGTGCAAAGGCAATCAAAGGTGATAACATGCAAAAACAAAACATTCTGTAAAAAGAAGGGAAGACAGCGTGAATGAGCGAATGCGTGCGTGCGCTCCAGAGAGGACTCCTTTCACCTTGAGGAGAGAAAAAAAAACAACAACACAACCTTGAGGCGAAAATAAGTCTATCCAACACATGAGGGTTTTCTTTTTCTCCCCTCTCAAGACCACCAAAGTGGAAGCTTACAAAAAAGAAAAAAAACATGTTTTTTTTACGGTTCATTATTTAAAAACATGTCTTTCAATTCATAGAAAATAAATCCTGAAGGCATCGGCTCGGTGTATACAGTATATGTACTGTAAATATATGTAGGCGACAAGAGGGTGACAGTGTCAGAACAGCAACAACAAAAAAGGAGATTAAAGCATAAAAAGCACTCTTGGATATGTTTCGTGTGGGAAATGATGATGGGCAGCACCATGTGCCAGTAGTAGTTTAAAAAAAAAATACTGATAAGAAATCTTACACCAGCCCACGCCGAGAATTGAAAATTTCCACCAGCTTTGTTCACTTCCTCCAAATGGAGTTTTTTCATGAGCCAGTCAGTCAGAGGGAGGGGATAAAGTAACAAAATAAAGGCCATATTATTATATCTATAATCGTCCACAGCCGCATATATGAAATAAAAACACAGTCAAATAAAAAGCGTTGAGCAATAAATAGCAATAAATCATGGACAGGTGTTGAAAAAAATAAATGTAACTAGATGTAGCCAATAGGTAAGAGAAATGAAGTAAAGCAAAATCATTCAAGATAAAAAGAATACGTGTGCGCTTCGGTGTGCACCCACAGGCATAGAAATAAAAATTTGGAGGAAGATGGGAAAAGCATGACGACCTCACGTCACGTCAAATCAGATCATCATTAGAATAAAACAAGCTCATTTGCCTTCTCTATTCGAATGATCAGAACAAAAGGGTTCAATCTTCAGTGATGCCAGTTTCAAACGCTTGCCCCTTCAGCTTCAACATATACCGTATTTTCCGCACTAAAAGGCGCACCTAAAAGCCTTCCATTTTTGTAAAAGCTCACAGCGCGCCTTAAAATCCGATGCGCCTTGTGTATGGTCATTACGGTAATATGTCGACCCCAAAATGGCTCCTTGCTCGAGACATGCTTACAAAACAGAGTTCAAACTTAAGTCGATCGGAGACGCAGTTGAACACGGAAAATAGAGCAGCGGCAAGAGAGTTCAACGTTAACGAGTCAGTTATAATTTGCTGTTGGTTACGTGAACTGTGCCGCTGCTTTATTAAATAAGTTTTACTGACATCTCATCGTTCTGTTGGTCTTTCCTTGAGCGTAGCTCCATCTAGTGGATGCATTGTAGATTGCGTCTTATAAAGCGGTGCGCTCAATGTACGAAAATATTACAAAATAGGCCATTCATTGAAGGTGCGCCTCATATTCCAGTGCGCCTTTTAGTGTGGAAAATACGGTATTCATGTCGCAGAAGTTGCTCCCATAACTTTGAGTTAAAAAAAACAAAACACTAATGTCCCAGCATAGCCCCGATGAGGGAGATGCAGGCACGATACATTCATTCAATAACGCCAAAGGCTTTGATTTTGGAATATTTTCAACTCGCACAAGATAATGTACAGAGAGGTGAGCCAGAGTGGCCTTTTTACGTACGCCTGTCGTACGCTAATTCTTCGTAAACAGGTGGAAAGTGGCACCCCGTGAGCTTCTTGATGAATGACTCCCCCATCTCGCAGATGTCCACATCAATCTCGATACCATCACGTTTTTTGCCGTCGACGTTTCAAAACTTCTACTGCCACTTTGTGGTCTTGCCATCACTCATTTTAATGGCTTTGGCCATTTTTTTGGGACCTTAAGCCTCGAGGGCCCTTTTCCATGTCCTCCATTTCAGTCCACGAAACTCCCGCTTGACACCATTCATCAAACTTTGCCCCCTTTCCCCCATTGAAAAGTTGTCCAGAGGCTTACAAGTGCAAGTCAACGTGTTCAAAAAAAAAAAAAAAAAAAGATTCCTCGCCTTGATGTGCTTGTGACTTCCCTTTGTGCGTCCATCCCAATCCCGACCTACCTTCCGTCTATCCCTTGAAAGGCCGCGGTGGCGCTTTGCCGATCTCGACTGAAACGTTAGTGTACAGCGGGTACCTTTTCATCTGCACCACTCGGTAGGTGAGTGAGCTGATGCCGTCCTTCTTCATGGTGTTCTTGGTGTTCTGGATTTTATTGAATCTGGACAAACAGAAGAAGGTCCAATCATCATTATCAGACTCTTGGACAAAGCGTCGCTAACTTCAATGTGTTCCGCAAAGAGGCTGGAACTCAATTTACTTTAACAGTGGTGCCTTGAAATATGAGCTACTGCTTCAGAGAATAAGAATAAAAAAATAAAAAAAAACAAACAAAAGCCCTGAAACAGGGCTGGACAAAAAAATGATAGTACCGCTATAAAAAGATTGGAAATATTTATTAGCATCGCAGTTGTCTTCAAACTTGTTATCAGTCAGTCGGCCCATTTAAAGGGTGACGAGTTGCCACTGTGCTGCTTGGTGACATGGTGGTTACCACACTAAACATGGACCAGAGGAAGTGAAGGAGAGAATTGTCTTAGGAGATTAGAAAGAAAATTACAGACAATTACGTTCAAGGAAAAGGTGATAAGACCGTCTCGAAGTAGCTTGATGCTTCTGCAGCTACAGTTGCACATATTATTCAGAAATTTAAGATTTGGTTTGAATTGGCAGAGGGGTACCAACCATTTTTTCCCCCACGTGTATCTATCTATAACGTGTCTCATGTAACAATGGCTCTAGAAGCGAGGTGCAAATACTGAACCCGTATTGAACCGAATCTGAATTGCCACAAGCTAGGGCTGGAGGTTTATTTACTCAAATGCAGCAGGGAGAGGCCTCAACGGCTTTTACGGTCTTAAAAAGCAGAACATTCAACAATCGGAACAAGAACGCCAAGGGGCTTGTTTTGCGACACGATCGACAGCGCGATCCATCACAAGTTTGTCAAGTGAGGCCAGAGTGTCGTTGCATCACAAATCGTTCTCACGTGGGAAATTGGCGAGCAGAGAAGACGGGAAACGAGCAGAAGAATGCATCAGCTTGCCGAGCAGCAGCTGATGCAACCTCATCCAACGCAAACCAGGCTGCAATGCGGTTTTCTTTTTCTCTCTCTCTCCCTTTTCTCTCTCTCTCTCTCTTGTCAGCCGATGACAATCCATTCCATTCTGGAGATGATATGTGTGATGACAAATCTAACTAATTGATGGTAAAAATATTCTCGCTATTGTTGAGGAATTACTATTCCGATCAATTTGATTCTGAAGATTGTATTTTTGGTTTGTGTGTTGGAGGGGTACACACATACTGAAAATCAGGCTGAGTTTAATCTAACCCTAACCCACTAACTTTATGATCATTGTGTTTCTTGACTAGATTAGCCCCAATATATCAATATTCCAGTGAACTTCATTGCGGGGCTTTTTGTTGGTTTGAGTCAAATGAGGCCCACATGACAGAAAAGAAAAATGGAGGCGGAATGAACTCGGAGATAAAATTATATTTGACCGGGAAAAAAAACTGACAGATGGATGGAGGAAGATATGCTGATATTAAAAAAATAATGAAATTTTCAGATAAATCCGTCATTGAGCAGATAGATTTAAGTCATGGAATAATCCCCCAGGTACATATAGAGAATATTCGATGCCCTCAATTTGCATGCCGTGAAACAACTCCAACAGAGGTTCATTTTAATTTGATGTACTTCCGAGATGTGCATGTTGTACCATATTGGACATATCATTAGGTCCAGCCCCATCTCATGAGATTCCCGTAAGAGCTGCATTGAGAATGTTTGACGGACACTGTCAGAGCACTAATATATATTCATATTAGTGATACATTGAAAACTGCGGTCGCACTGGTTTAGAAGTGCACTTTAATGATGGATACATCATTAGCCTGATCCACCGTAACTGAGCTAATAGCTCCATCGTCTCATTCGTAGTGGAACTGCAGTAAATCGCCCTAATTGAGTCCACGGAGGGAAAATACAAGACATTTTAAAATCCATACACAAACACGAGGAGACTGAACATATAAATCGAATAGTGAACATGCCTGGGTGAGTAATTTATATGGATACTTGTGTGCGCATGTGTGTGCGTGTGTGTGTGTGCGTATGTGTGAGAGAGAGTGTGAGTGAGTGTGTATGCGCGTGCGCAGGTAATGAATATGCCTCCTTTCTTGCTCGTGCTGGCCCGAGATCTCATCGTTATGCCTCGCCATGGTCGACGAACTCAGCGAATGGACTTTTGTTTGAGTGAATAAGAGCGCGCGCGTGTGTGTATATGTGTGTGTGTGTGTGTGTGTGTGTATAAAAGAGAGAGAGAGAGAGAGAGAGAGAGAGAGAGAGAGAAATTCTAGCTAGCTAGCTATATAGCTAGCTAAATAGCTAGCTAGCTAGATAGATACTGAGTGTGTGTGTGTGTGTGAGAGTGTGTGTGTTATATATATATATATATATATATATATATATATATATATATATTGTATGGAATGTAGTCCATTCGTCCCATCATAGTGTTTGTACAATTGTTGTGTTTGGCTAAGAAATATTCAAAAGGATTTTAGAGGATCACATATCAAGAGCCACACTCCCATCACTCCATAGAGGTATGCATCATTTAGTTTGTCCCATACCACTTTATATTATTCATGCAGGTTTTTCCTTTATGGTATCAAAAGGTCATAATACCCAGCGTGCGCACGGCTTGCTCGAAAGACCGAAATTTCCCAAAATACAACTGCAGCCGTAAAATGGCTGCAATGGAGTCAGAGGTAAGCGCTGAATCTTAACGCTTGAGTACTTTTGTACCCTCTCGCCAAGAGACCAGGGAGCGTCTCTTTTCTATAAGTGGCAGCGTATGTTTCAGTCGTGGCGGTCGTGACGCTGAATGATTCATGCGCGAGATGGCGACGTGCATTCAGGACGAAGTGAATAAATAAAGCTGGAGGTCGTTCAACTCATTTGTCCAGTTATATGTTCAGAATTCAGTTATTTCAAACAGTATACAAGAAGACCTACATAAATGGCTTTTTGTATGTTACGGTGAATTCTATAATTCTCAATACAAAAAAAAAACAACATCCAAAGGTTCAGAAAAGCACAAGCACCATAGAAAATGGAAGGATGTGCTGTGAGTGTTCTGAACTCCTGTTTCCATGCTGAGCAGAATGATGTTCTCCAGGGGAGTTTCCGTCATGTGGACTTCGGTTCCCAGCGCTGTGGTGGAATTGTCATCTTTAAAGAGCGGCTTTGATGCTTACCGGCATATTATAAAATGGGAAAGGCGAGTGCAAGGAAAGAGAGGTTTTTCATAAAACAAAACCGAGATGGCTTTCCTGTGATGGGGCTCGGAAGGGCCAAGTTTGAGGTTGCAATTTTGACGAGCGCCATTTAAAGTGCTTCGCAGACAAGCATAAAACCTCCTCTTGTATAAATGACTTATTTGCCGGTGTGATGAATGAGACCCAATATGGTGGGATGAGGCATCGCAGGAACATTAATCAGAGGGAGTATAGCGCTTCACATTAAGCCGTTTAAACGGGGATTATCACCGTTTATTCTGTCTAAAGAGCACCCCCTCCACAGCCCCCTTCCTACATTCTAAACCACCACACCTGTGCCCACCCAGTACGATGACAAGCTCAACCAATGACGGCATCACGCATTTTGACAAGCTTCGCCAGGAGTCAAACCCCGAAAGCTCAAGTTTGATATTGATTGACAAAGATGAAAATTAAAGATATTTTTGCCATTATTGAAGTTTCTTTGAATTAATTTTATAAACGTATGATCTACTTTCAATTTCTTTTTTAAAACATTTTTGTTTATATTTCAAAAACAAAAATGTCTTTGTGGTTATTTCGTTACTTTTCGTAAACGATAATATCTTTGCTCCTGATGCATACTCAGTAGGTATGTGTTAATATCTCCAAACATGGGTATGACACAGTTCAAGGATAACGTTTAAAAAGCTCCTGACATTTAGAACCACGATGAAGCGTAAAAAAACTCCACTTTAACTTGTACTAGGTATATCTTTTTCAACTAGTGTCACAAAAAACAAAAGTAAAAGGCAAAAAAAAAAAAAACCAAACAAAAAAAAAAAAATGGCCAGAATTGTTTGGAGTGATAAACCTTCTACCCATCAACATCTTTCTACAGTTAGAATTAATCCATTCGAGGAAAATTTTTCCACACAGCCCTTCAATTGTACGACATCGGTGATGTCTTACATTTGTTACTACAAGCTAAACGTCCACCTTCATAAATGAGATCACGTCACGGTGCATAAAAATGAAGCCAAATGGGACGTCAGACGTCCGACAGCGACATCTTGAAAACAATCTGTGGAGTGAATGAGATGACGTCTAAGGCGGGGCAGGTGCGTATCGCATGTCATCCATCATAGTTTTAAGTGCGTGCGGTGTCTGTAATTGCCTGCCAAAAACCACACGGCTCCAAATGGGAGCGTCTCGTCTGCTCGCCTTCAACCAAATCAATAAATGAGCCACCAGACGGGCTCGAAGTCATTGCGCTCCGCGCTCGATTCCGGTTATGCCTCCGTGAGTCACACTGACTGCACAAAAACAACGCTACCAAAGGATGCTACTGTATTTATTTGGACAGCCATGAATTATTCATGGCGTAGTGGCGGGCCTAGGATAGTGCTTTTTTTTTAAAGATGGAACTAGCTTCATTTTGTTTGTTTTTGTTTTTTTGTTAACATCGCTCATAAATATTTTGCTCTTGGAAGATCTTTGAGAGGGGAAATGGGATTTGGACTCAAGTTGTGTCTTCGCATGTAACTTTGCTCCATTCAAGCAGAATACAAACCTTTCTAAAAGTGAAAACGCTACATTTCCCCATAAAAAAACCCAAATATTTTACTGTACAAACAATGTATCCAGCAAAGAAATGTTCTGAAATAAACACATTACAATTTGATGTGAAAACTCAATATTTTGCCCTGACAATCCAATGCTTCAAAAAAAAATCACCATATCTTCCCATGATAACGAGATCTAGAAATTCAAAACACATGTATGTGAATTTTAGGTGATGATTGACAACAGTTTTCTTACGGTCCCCGTACGCACCTCCTCAGGCAGAACCTCAAGATTGCATTCTGAAAATGTTTCTCCGGTGTGGGGTGGTGGGGGTGTGGGGGGGGGGGGGGGGGGATTAGGGACACGCTGCTCTCAGCTGTCAAACTTCGTGGCCATGTTTGTGCTGGTGTGTCATTAGCGAATTTGTGAATAGGACATGAAGACAATTTAAGATGCTATCAGTGGCCGTAGTTCATTCTTTGTGAATTTGGCCATATATTTTGCAATTCAAACAATATTCGGGATGAAAGCACTATATTTAGCAAATATGCATTATCTAAAAAAAACAAAAAAAGGTACAGTTTGCGGAACATGAACGGCAACGCGGTACCTTTGAGGGTTGGGCTCGTTGTGTTTGTCTCTCTCGTGTTTAATCATTCGGTAGCGGCCGATGCGCACGTCCGGTCTGGACACCTTCATCCCGTTCAGAGTGATCCTGCAACACACACGTGGTAGCAAGCGTGAGATGGCAATAAGACGGAATAAGAAGCACAAGTTATTGCGCTGCGCCTTCTCCAAGCAGTCCTCCACTCTATTGCTTTCATGCAATTAACTCCACCGTCGGGCACAGAAGAGGAGAGTGGAAAGTTCCCCGTGAATCCAATCAAATTTGTCGTGCAGACTGGAATTTGGGGCGATTATTGGAGCAGTGGGGAAAGTGGTTTGAGCATGCGGATACATGTTGGACAGTCCAATCTGAATCAGACAATTAAAAGACGATCAAATGGACAAATTGCTTGTATTTGTCCAAGATAATAGCCTCGCAAGAAAAGCTTGACTTTAAATCTTTTTTGCGCCAAAATGTGGAGTGACCTGCATGAAATGACCTTTCGAACCACTTCAGTCAACGACACTGAAAAACTCTTGAATTAATCGTTCTTTTCTTTTGCTTCTCACTCTGAATCACAATTTGGATGTTTGCGTGTGAGCCTCTCAAGAAATAAACAAATTCGTTTATATTCTTACACACATACTGTAAACACGTCACATGCATAATGTTAGGGTACATATATAATGTAAACACATCTGTCCATCAAGTTTATTCTACTTCATGAAAACTATCGAAATAACTAAAACTGAAAATAAAAATCATGAAGGACACAGTAAAAAAAAATGCTTTAAAAAAATGAAAGCCGAAACTAGATCTTACATTCATAAGACTAACTATAGTTCGGGCAATAAGATCAATTTTAGTATTGCTGTACGTCTGTACAGAAGAAGGAAGGTCATTTCTTTGAGAATTGTAGTTTACTCAACATTTTTTTTTCAGTTGTACAGGCTTTAGGTAAAGCAAAAGAAATTAAACTTGCGTGCGCCACATGAGTGACATTTCAAAGCAATCGATGCAGCAGATGTTGGATAACATGGTCAACACCAAACAGGGCGAACTGGATCAACGTGTGCAAAATCACACCAGATTCTACACTGAAAGTGTGTGAATTCAGCAGCTTGTCCAAAATGGGCGTTGAAGGACATATTCCTTACGAGCGCTCTTCGAAAGGCTTTTAAAGCAGCCAGCCATGACAAGGAGAGGGAGGGTGTGCGTGTGCGTGTGCGTGTGTGTGTGTGTGTGTGTGTGTGTGTGTGTGTGTGTGTGTATATATGTCTGTTAGCACTTAATGCGAGGCCACCCATAACCTTCACACACGGCAGCTTAAAGCAAGTTGGATTTATTGCCTTTTTAATGTCGCTCCAAATGCAAATGGCAATCTCAGCCAGAATCTAAAAGCTTTAACTTAGGTGAGAAAAATAGAACAAGGAGATGTGATTGTGACATGAACATCCTGGTTCTTTTTTTTCCCCCTTGTCGCCGAGGGGGGGGTTAAACAGCGATAGAAGGCACAGTTACGCCGATGATGTGCTGTCTCGCCGAGTTTATTCGACAAAGTGAGCCTTTTCTGCGTCCAGCGGACACTCAAACAACTTCAAACGGACCCAAGGGGTAGCTTTCCTATAGCAACTAAAGTATTAACTTTCCCTGGAAGAAAAAAAACTATAAAAATATGAATGGATTACAGTCACTGGAATAGCATCTCTGTGATTATCATGCTACTTTAGTGGCCTATAATATTGGTGGACACCTTGTTTTGTGTAAGTATTTGTGTTGTGAAGAGAACTGCCGTGAATGTCAGCCACTTTACATATTTATAAAGTATGATATTGTAGAGTGCTATTGTTCATGAAAAACATAAAATATTTTGTTGTTGTTTTTTTTTTTTTTGGGAGGCTGGAACGGATTAATGGTACTTCAGTTCATTTCAGTGGGAAAAGATGATTTGAGATATGAATGCTTTGAGTTCCGCGCATGGTCACGGAACAAATTCAACTTGTACTATAAAGGACCGATGTACGATAGACTGGAATAGCAGAGCTAGTCAAAGCATCTTTTTGCTGCGAAATGAAGCTCACCTGTTGTAGATATCGTCATCCTCTCCTCCCCAACCCCAGTACTCGTTGGGGAAGCCGTTGATCTTCAAGAACTGTTTTTTACTGAGGCCCGACACGCCCCCGAAGTAACCCGCATAGGGCAGCCTGGAGCAGACCACACAATGTCGTGAGCGATAACCCAACCCTACTTCATATGTATAGTGCAGTACTACATCAAACACAACAACGGGGTCATAAGGAAGCAGCTTTTCACCTGAAGCCAAACTTGTCCATGGCAATGGCGAAGTGTCGAGGCTGCTCGTAACAGTGATACAGATTGCGGTCGTCCATGGGGATCAGGTCCACATCGCTGAAAATGAAGCAGTTGTAGTCGCCGTCCTTTAGCGCCTCCGCGTAGCCAACGTTCAGCAGCTTGGCGCGGTTGAACGTGTCCTCGCCCAACTGTAAAAAGAATGGAAATGCCCACCATAAAGCTCATACTCAATGTTTTGTCCCTTTAATTTAGTAACTGTATGCTACTTGTCACTAACTTCGCTTCACGCTACAAAGCTATAGTTGACAAAGCTACGCAGATCTAGTCAAAATAGTCACATCTTGCTGAGCAAATTGATACACAGCAACTTACCGCACAGCTATACTATATTTCATTGCTGTGTGCTACTTTACGGCCCACCGCACAGCTATTGAGACGGATGATGTTGATTTATCTGTATGATTACTCTGTATGATCAGTTTCATTAGCAAACCGGTTAATCAGGATATAATCGTCACAGATGGACGATTTAACGTGTTGCTGGTGTTATTGACGCCCGGATGTGCCTAATCAATCTATATCTGCCCAGATATCGTTATGCGTCTAGTAAATACCAGATCCCCGTTTTCATGTGGCAAAGTTACGATGCCGTGCCGTCACCGAATTGTGCCAAGCAATTATGGTGAACGGTAGAGGTTGGAGCGGCCCGGTGGTCCAGTGGTTAGGGCGTCAACCTCACAGTGCAGAGGTACCGGGTTCATTTCTAGCTCCGGCCTCCCTGTGTGGAGTGTGCATGTTCTCCCTGGGCCTGCGTGGGTTTTCTCCAGGTACTCCGGTTTCCTCCCACACTCTAAAAACATGTATGGCAGGCTGACTGAACACTCTAAATTGTCCCTAGGTGTGAGTGTGAGCGTGGATGGTTGTTCGTCTCTGTGTGTGCCCTGCGAATGGCTGGCAACCGGTTCAGGGTGTATACCGCCTGCGGCCTGAAGACGGCTGGGATCGGCTCCGGCACCCTCCGCGACCCCTGTGAGGATAAGCGGATCGGAAAATGGATGGATAGATGGTACAGGTTGAGCGTGGCTACAGGCCCATGTCCTGTATAGTGCGCTGCCTCTCTGTATTTATTATCACCCAGTGGATGTGTGTATTGATCTCTGCTAAGCTGCAGCACTTGATTATGTTTTACACATTGAGCAGAAAGTGTGTGCATGTACAGTTTCATGTCTGTACAATGTATGCAACGCCTCCAGGCTAAATCATAATACACAATTTTATTATTAATCCAATGAGAATGAGCCATTTTAATTCTCATATCCTCAATATCGTTAATCGCAGAGAAAATCCGAGACTAATAGCAGCTATCATAGCTTAATTAGCAAGTTAGTGGTATGTACTGCAGTATATGTCAGTCATGTGACGCTACCTTACTACATACAACTATGGTACAAAGCTACATCACTAAAAACTTTGTGGACATATGCCACATACCCACACGCTACATAGCCATATAGCCATATGCTACTTTGCTACATGCTTGTTCGTTAGATGCAATATGGCTAAATCCTACATAGCTATACAGCTATTTGCCATATGGCTATTGTCTACTTTGCGACATGCTATATTGCCATACACTACATAGCTATGTGCTATATGATTACATGCGACTGTGCGTCATGCTACAAAGTTATATACTAACTTGCTACACACGACAAAGCTATTTTGTACAAACCACATTGCCACATATTCCACGACTTTATGTTTTAATGTTTAGTGATAGTTGTCGTTTTTGCAATGTAAAAATGCGGATAAAGGACATCTTGAATAACGCGATGTTGATTTTTGAACAAAGCCAATTGTCAACCGAGAAAAGTTTGCGTCACAGCGATTGGGGTTTAGCTCAGAGCAAATTAGCGGGCTCGGGACAAAATGGATACTCCGGGGTTTGTTCACTCTCAAATCCCGCCAGAATTCAGCTTGCAGGCAAGGTTAAATCGACTTTACCCTTACGGATCCCACCTTATTAATGTTTACATGTATCCAGTCTTTCATCAGTTTAAGGACTTAGATCTTTAAAGTTTATCGAAAACAACAGGCTTAAAGACAACTTAAGATTTAATGTGTCGTAAACAAAACACAGGCAAGACATGACCACTGTACCAGCATTTCAAACTGTCACATAAAAACTTTAATGCTGGTAGAATGACTGACTTATCTGTGCATGACAGACTGACGATACAGTTGTTCATGTGACATACTTTATCACAGCATATTCTATATAGATGAGTGTTGAAATAATACATGATTTAAAAAAAAAAAAAAAAAACACTGGTGCATGCCGTCTTCATGTTAGCTCCTCCATCCCAGCATCACTTGGGAAGCAGGAGGCTCATCAAAGCTTGATTAGATACTGTAGCCAACCCCATTCCCTACACACACACACACACACACACACACACACACACACACACACACACACACACACACACACACACACACACACACACACACACACACACACACACACACACGAACGCACACAACTAATTTAAAGCTAGCAGTTTTCAATCCCTTTTGACAGTGCCATGTTTTGCACGGAGGAATGTGGCACACAATCGCAAAGCGCATGAGAAAAAGACAGCAGCCGGTGGCGGCCAATTCAATAAAGACGCCTGCCGTCCTTTTGTGCAAAGCCTAGCTTGTCGTAAGTAAATAAAGATGGAGGGCGGCAGTCATCCAAGATACTGTAGCAAAAAAAAAAAAAAAAAAAAAAAAAAAAAGCTTGCTCCAGAGCGACATGTCGTGTGGAAATAAAAGACGCTGCAATAAGATCCATTCTGGGTGGATTTTATTACAGTAAAATCCGGCTAGTTTTACATTTTGTAATCTTTGAAAAGTAATTGTACATAAAAGTGTTCAGATGTTGATACATCCATAATAATCTGCTTTAATTTAACAAATGTCCAAACCATAGCTCTCTCAAGTCAAGACTGTGTGTAGACTTCCAAAGGTATAATAAATAAGAACAATAAACATTTTATTCCCGGGCTGTATAATTCCAGCGAGCAGGAATAAGCGTGTAAATCACACAGGAAGTATGTCAGAAAGCGAGTGAACACAAAAGTGACGAGAGGGACCGAAGGGGGCGGACGGAAAGATGACGAGCGGTGACAAACGTTGCCGCAAAAAGACATGACAGGGAAGGTTGGCGGTGCCCTGTGGTGGTGGGGATGAAGCTGGGGGGAGGGAGCGCCATGTGTCAGTCAAAGCGAAATAGCCGACTCGTGCAGAAAGAGACAAACATAAGATGTACACTAGTAGACTGTGTACTCGGGGAGCTGCCACCTGACATCAGACAGTCAAGAGGCATGAAGGGAAAAGACAAAAACAGATGGTCGCCGTGGCTGCGGGCTTTCGAACCTGCCGTGTGGCAAACCAGTCCCGAGCTGAAGTCCACAGGCAGGATGAAGGAACACGAAAATTTCAGCTATTTTAGAAAATGATTAATCTGAAAATGAATGTAACTCTTTCAGGGAAAACTGGTACTACAGTGGACAGCTTATCATGTTAGCGGTTACAGGATGCATGAAAGGGTTAAAGTAAAAAAAAAAAAAAAAAAAAAAAAATGTTCTATGCGCCTCCATTAGTCTAAACACAGTCTTTCGATGATATGAATGTTTGGTTTGTGGAAGATGAAGTAAACAAAACAAAAAAAATCCACCCGTTTTAATCCATTTCAGGGGGCGGCCATTTTGCCTTCTCCCGCCACTTGCTGTCGACTGAACATCACACCACAGTGCCGAAGGGCCCAGCTTGCGAACGTCACATGACCAAACTCAGAAAGCAGGTGTGTCGTGATTGGTCATTATTTGAGGCGTTTTATGTCGGCTACGGCATGCACCGTCCATTATGACTCGGTGTTGGAATACATTTGTTAAACATTACACATGCATGTACAGTATGCACATGCTCACAACGTCACACCATGACAAAAACTTTAGAATTGAATTGAGCTTTTTTTTTTCTTTCTTTTTCATTTCTCTTGCAGTGAACAGAACTGTCCCGTTCCTGCTCCCTTCTCCTAATTATGTCAGGAAACACACACACACACACAATCTGAGTTTCACACTGCGTGTCCCTCAGACCTGCTGCAGCTAGATACAGCGAGGTGACTCATCCCTCCTCATTTCCCATCACGACCAATATGGGACACCATCTGCCTCATGCCTTAATGTTGGAGCCTTCTCCAATCTTGCCGTCACTTTGAGATATTGCCTCTCTGTGTGTGTGTGTGTGTGTGTGCGTGTGTGTGTGTGTGTGTGTGTGTGTATATGCCTTAAATATGTGCAGGGTGAGAAGTTACAAAACTTCCTTTTCCAAAATGTACGTGACAATGCTGAAAAAGAAAGGATGCGTTGGGCAGAAAGGCAACAATGTCCTGTCCATATCCAGAAGAACACTCGAGTGTGTCTGACGTGTCTTCCTGGCTCATTTTAAAAACACGATTATTAAAATGACCATTCATTGATTTCAAACTGTTATCAAAGCCTCATGCCCATTCATCCAAGCACGTTGAACACTTTTTTTTCTTGCGAGGTTTCTCTGAAATATATCCAGTAGTAGCCCTTACGGCTGAGTGACAATATGACACCAGCGCACGGCACTGTCCGAACTTGCATTTCTACACCTCCGCTATAATTCTTGATGCTTGGGGTACTCATTCCTGCCTGACTTCATTCTTGAAGGGGAAGCAAGCGTTGCCCATTTAATCGTCCCATCAGGGGGATTTACAGAAGAGTACGAGGACATAATCACCGTCGCCATCCAAGGAAGATTTGGTAATTAGCATGTTGCACGCATAGTCAGGGAGTTGTCAAAGTTTTAGCGGACATGCCCACAGCGAATCATGCCGAGAATTGCAATCGGCTTAGCTAATTAAAATTTCATCCTCCGTCCCATACCGGACCAGCAAATGGCAAGCGGCGAGCGATCATTTGGGATGTCAACGCCGCCTCACGGTGTTATTCGTGTTCAGCTGAGGTCAACAACTCGAGGGTTTGAAAAGCCCAACATTATCCCATGCGCGGTTTTACTGCCTTCTTCGTGAATGGTGCTCCGTTACGTCAACGAGGGAAGGCCACCGGGCTCGTAAACGGAAGTGAGCCGGAGGTCGGCATTTAGCGGGAAT